CTTGACATGAATATAAAAATCTTTAATAATGTGTTCTTTTGATGTTAATTCCCTATTTACCAATGTGCCACTGATTTGATTAGTATATAATAATAATAATAATAATAATAATAGTATATTCTCATTTTGTACATGAGAGACGCCAGTTTACAGGCATCATCAATATGATAAATTACATATACGATTAGCAATCATAATTAATAATAATGTTTTAATAAAATACACATTTTTTCCTACTTGTGTAGGACACACCAAATATACAGGCATGGATAAGCATTATTTAAATTTCATAAATTTGGTTTATGGTTAAGTTACATGGTTGCTGGCGTTTTTGTCTTAGGTCTGTGGGAACAATATGATAACCAGTCATTCAATGGAGCACGTCATGAAATATAGGAATATTAACTTCGCATTAACAAAAAACCCAAGTAAGTTTTGGATGGATTAAAAATACTTGGGAAAAAATAAAGCTTGAAGTTATTCCACAATATAACAAGTCATTCAATGGAGCACATCATGAAATATAGGAATATTGTCTTCGCATTAACAAAAAAACCCAAGTAAGTTTTGGATGGATTAAAAATACTTGGGAAAAAATAAAGCTTGAAGTAATTCCTCAATATAACTTGGGTGTGTACAAATCCGAATCTTATTTTTGATTTGATTTATATCCAAATTGGGTAATAAGGAAGCTATTTTACAGATACGATCAGTTATGTTATAAGCTACAATCGTGACGTTGTATTACAAATTGATACTTTTCCATTGGTATAAGAGTATATTCCACAAATGTAATCCAGGTTGCGTCGTGGAGAAAGTTAATTCGTTATTAACCAGGCAACTGAAAGATACGGGACCAATAATGTTTGCAGATCATTTGTCATTGTAAATGGTCAAATATCCACATTATTCATTCTCATTCAAAAAGTCAAATGGAAGCTGAAATGGTGAGAGAAAAAAGAAGACAAACAACAGCAACGCAAAAGAAAGCAACGGGAGTCCTTAAGGAGTGATTAATAAATATATACATATATATTCTGTTTAGTAACTGTGGTTATTTTGGTACACAAACTAACTAGTCCCGTTATGCTAACTTTTATATTATGTGTAAACTAATATTACTGTCCTGTGTAGAAATGTTAATCATCTAGTTCCAATAATATTAAAATTTATAATTGTAGTTTGTTGTAACTACACGTTTAAAGAACTTAAAATATCTATGTAGGGTGAAAAAGAAGGTGTAAGAGTCAGGCGCAAAAGTGCATTGTCATCTTTGAGCAGTCTGGTGACTGAGGAGATGAACACTGGAAGTGTGTTTGCATCGCGCACATTAGCTGGTAGTCTATTCCAAATGACTGAAAACTTATTTAAGAAGAAGTTGTACCGCACGTAAGTCTGACAGTGCTCCATAGCAGCTAGGTTGTGATGATTTCTAAGATTGTAACTGATGACAGCGGTAGGTTTAGTTATTGGCTCGGAGGAATGCAAGAGAAGATTAGTTAGCTTATAGTAAAAGATAAGGTTTAGCTTAAGGCGTCTTTTCCAGAGGGGTTCTAATCTTAGTCTTTCGCATCGCTCATGGTATTCCAGACCACTTTCTAAACCAAGAGTTCTTGAGGTAAACTGCCGTTGCACTCCCTCTAATTTAAGCTTGTCATTTTGTCTTAGTCCGCTAAGAATAAACGGGCAGTATTCTAAGATAGGTCGGACACATACTTTGTATAATAAAACCCTAGTTTCACAACAAAAGAAATTGCGTGTTATGCATCCTATCAGCCTTCGCGTTTTACGTCTGGCATAATCAGTCTGTTCAGCGAACGTTAGGTTACTAGAGTATCTAATACCGAGATCTACGACTGAGTTGAGCTTAGCTAGTTTTCGCCCATTTATTTCAAGAGTTAGATCAAGCTTACTGTTGCCGATACAAATCCAGCCGCATTTGTCAATGTTAAAATTTAGACAGGATTCAGCACACCATGTTGCGAGACTACTTAGTTCAAGATGTATTTTAGTAACCATATCGCTTAATTCATGAGTGTAGCAGGAGTAGACGACTTTGAGGTCGTCAGCATATAGGAATGGTTTGCCTAAGGTGAAGCACTTGCAAATGCTGTTAATGTAGACTGTGAATAAAAGTGGACCTAGGACACTACCTTGCACGACCCCACTTGAGATCTGCCTAGGATGAGACAATACAGATCCAACTTTGGTTATTTGTACCCTGTTGCTTAGAAATGATTTTAACCAGTTCAGTAATGGGTTGCGAATTCCACAAGAGTACAGCTTCTCAAAGAGAATACTGTGAGATACCATGTCAAATGCCCTAGATATATCGAAGTAGAGAACAACGACTAGCTTACGTGCTTCGCGACTACTAGTGATGCAGTTGAAAAAGTCGAAGTGGCAAGTAACGCAGGATCTATTTTTGAGAAATCCGTGTTGAGACCTTGTAACAAGATCTTCCCTAATTAGGTAGTCTGACAATTGATCTTTTACAACTTTCTCCATGATTCGTGAGATAACTGGGGTTATATTTATGGGTCTGTAATTGCGGACGTTTGCCCTATCACCAGATTTGTAATGTGGAATTATGAAGCTAGTTTTCCACTCACTAGGGTAAGTGCCAGTGTCCATAGATATTGAGAAGAATTTAAGAAGTAACAAGGGTATATCACACCCACTGTTTTTGAAAATTATCGAAGCGAGGCCATCCGGTCCCGTACTAGTGGAAGGTTTAAGGCTTTTAATTGCTTGTACTATTAACTGATTAGTGAACACAATGCTTTCAAGGGAAGAGATAGTAAGGGGAGCGGTTTCACCAGGCATATGTGTTTCTAAACTAAAGTTTGCAAACCAATCACTGAAGAGTTCACAGATAGTGGCAGGTTCATTGTAGATTACTTTGTCGTGAAGTAAGTATGGGATTTCCCTCGCCGACTGCATTCGTTTTTTAAGAAGTGCCGTTAAGTTATAAACTTTGGAGGTACTTTCAAGTGCCGTTAACTCTTCGTCGAGGTCCTTTTGAGAGCGTAGGCGCTTGAGAGATTCAAGAGACTCGTGGATTGAGAGCAATAGTGATATGTCCTTAGTGGAATAGTACTGTTTCTTCAGTTTCCTTAACTTATTACGGTGTGCCCTTGGAATATATTCAGTTCGGTGTCTACTTAATTTCACTATTTTCTTTGGAGCAACTGTATCTAGACAAAGGGTAACATTCCTGTAAAACAGGGTTACTAAGGCCTCCAGGGAGTCAGTGGTAAAATAGTCATCCCATTGACAGAGTCGAATAAGTTCTTGGACTAATCCCCAGTCTGTATATTTGTAACTACGACATATTGTGCTTCCTGAGTCTTGTTTGTTTCCTGTATTTAGTGGTGAGAAAGGCAGAGAGCAGAGTACCATTCTATGGTCACTACTGGAAAATCGATTACCAACATACGTGGATACTGGGATTGTGTCATGACAAAAAACAAGGTCCAACATGTTGTCACCACGAGTAGGTGTCTGGACGTGTTGTTGCCATCCATAACAGTCTATAGTGGCAAGTAATTCGTCGAAGCGTTGGGGGCCGGAACTAGTTAGCCAATTGACTTCTGGAAGATTGAAGTCCCCTGCAATTATTTTGTAATTAGCACTAAACGAGGATGCGTGTGCAAACGATTTAGCTAATAACGCATCAGTTTCTTTTGTTGAGCTTGGTGCTCGATAAACACAGCCTATGAGAAGTTTGTACTTATCTCCATGTAAGACAACCCAGAGTGAGTCAGGTACATTATTCATTGTTTCATCTTCCACCTTACTGACTACAAATGAGCTATGTATATATATGAGACATCCTCCACCACGCTTGCAATCTCTGTTTGCACGGTGTACAGTGTAATCATCGATACCTATATGCACATCAAGTACAGAGGATGAGCACCATGACTCAGTAATCAGAGCTACAGTAGGCTTGGCGACTAATAATAATGTCCTTAGTTCAGATATCTTATTGATTAAGGAACGTGCATTAATTAGCAATATCGTGAATAAGTCACGGGATACTACAAACTGGCTTAAAATGTCACCATAACCTAAATCTATTTGTGCGTCAGCACCGCAAGAATTTATGAATGAAAAGGAGGTCGGACTGGGTGTCTGCACATCGGAGTTGGTGTGCAATGAGGTGGTCCTAGGTGCCATGGGTCGTACCAGTGATTCGGGACACCTGGAAAATTTACCATGTGTTCCTGGATATAAGGGTAGTACAGGTTGGGCCTAGGTTGACGGTTAAAAGGCATAGCATCAAAAGGTCTACCCATCCAACTGCTATTCGTCATACCGGTATACACCTTCGGGTTGTTTTTATAACTTAAAGGGAATTGTGAAGGAAGGTGCTTTGGCTGCAAGACTTTAGGAGTCTTGGAGCCTGACTTTCTATAAGGTGGAGCATGCGGAACACCTCCAGATATACTTATGTTTCGAGAGGAGTTTTTCGTAACAAGTGATGGTTTGTTGGCATTCTTACTCTCAGCAGGCTTATTGAATACAAAGTATTCTTCCCCATCATTAGTCTCAACCCTGCGAAATTTGTTCATCGTGGTGAGGTTACTACGTTTGGGGGGAAATTTCTTAGAACAACTTGCAGAAGTTCTAGTCATTTTAACATCTTTCGATGAGGCTTTATTTACAGGGGTACTGGTGTGGTGAGAGCAGGCCGTGAGAAAATATGTACAAGGCTGATTTAACAACCAATCACAGCAAAGTTAACGTGGCAAAATATGATTCGCAGATAGAGAACTCTATTTGTCGAGGAATCCCAAAACAACCAATCTGAAGCCTGCGTTTGTCTGCCTAACTTCTGATAAACAACCAACCAGATGACTGCGCTTGTCTACTTGCATAAGCTATAATAATGTATGTGAAATATGTATAAATACGTGTTGATTTTCATAATAAAACGATCTGTTGCCTGGCCCTTGTCTTCTGTTGTTACACTGGTATCTAAATCAGTTCCTAGTTCCATCGGCAGGTGTGGTTGTTGTGTAGTTTGCTGAATGCTAGTTTCAGCACTAGGTGTCTGTTGCTGTGCACGATCCTTATTTGGTAAATCAAAGCTAGAGGAGGTGACCAGGTTATTACTACGCATTATTCTGCGCTGACACGGTGTTTTATCCTGAGCTACGGTTATAGACTTATAACTGCTATTCAGTCTTAAGTGATCCTGACATTTAGTAAACTTACTAGCATCAAGGGAATTACTGAATTTAAAAATGATTGGGCAATTAGCCTGGTTAGACTTTTTACGAAGTCGTTTGCATTCACATGGAACACTAGCCATGCCGCAACAAATCAGGATTTTGTGTCTTAAAGTTTTCAGGGGCAGAGAATCTGGGACGTTGTAAACTATGGCTTGGTGAGAAGAGGTTATACGCTTCATCACCTCCGTAGCCAAGCAGTCAATCAGATTTTCAGCTTTATTTAGGTTGTCTGGAGATATTTTAGGATTCCTTTCTAAAAGACAGGCTATCGGGTCTAAATTCAAAAGCTTATTTTGAGTTACATCCAGTAGACACTTAACCTGGCCAATATCAGACCGGCTCTCCGTGGTATTTGAGATTGGCAGTGACATACTATCAAACTGATCTAATTTTTTCTGAATTTCACTTACTTGCCTCTGCATATCTTTCAAAAGGAGGTTTAGTTTACAGAACTCAGAGTTCTCTAACAGAACATCTTTCACCTGTATCACAGGAGTGAGATCTGCACTCAAACCATTTTGAGAGCTAGTAGTTGATACTGCATTACTAGGCGGTAATGCAGTTATAACCAAATTTAAGCCACTATCTAAAACAGTTGTGTTTCTACGAACACGTTTTTTAGAGATTTGGACCATAATTTCAAGAATTATATGACAATAAGCAGTAAATAAATTTCAGAGCAAACACGTGCAAAAATGTCACCAATTTCGAACGTACCGCCAGAACCATATTCTGCGTGACTATATATCTTCTGCTTGCTTTTAATTTCTTTTAGCTTATTTCAGAGATTTATTACTATTATGTTCTGACAACATCCGTTTCACGCTTGGAGGTGAATCCTTTTGACAGGTGGAAGGCTTTGTTATGGGAAGTTCATTAGGATCCTTGTTGGCGGATGTTTATACGTCTTATGTTGAAAACTCATCCCTTGACGTTATCGCCTAATCGCCTTCCTGCAGGAGGTATGCAGATAACGTTATTTCGATATGCGATTATCATGAGGATGCAAGTCGTCCACTGGACTGACTTAACTCCCTACGGAACCATATACGTCTTGCATGCGGGAAAGTAAGTCTTGACCAGTTCTCATTTGAGACATATTTCTGAGTCAGAGTCTTTGGTTTATTAACGCAATCAATTCAAAGAAGACCTACTTGGGAAAGGGCATCACTTAAACTTTCACAGCTTCTGTCCACTTCAGTGTAATAGATGCTTGGTGAAGTGTTTATCCAAGAGAATTCGGCGAATTGGTACAGCTGGTGTTATACAGGATAAAAATAAAATTCTGATAGGTGCCATTGTTGAAAGTGGATATCCCTGAAAAGTTTTAAACTGGTGAAGACGCTCAGTTTTGAAACCTAAGATCCGTTCTGTCTCTAAGTAAGATGTCTTCATTTAACTGTCAGACAATGGGGTTTTCAACAGTAGGATTTTGACGCAGACTAAAGTCGGTCATTCTCAGAAGCTACTGTGCAGCCCGGTTTCTAATCATCGAAAAAGCCAAAAATATGCTGCGCTGTAAACGTCAAAGGTGCGCAAGTGGTTATATGACATCCCACACTACATACCGATATGTGTACGTGTGGTCATATATGCATACTTAGAAGTATTCGTGCTTTAAGTATGAGGGTGGGGAAGCATACTCCGAAGTAGTTAGAAAGACAGGTGAACTTTTGAAGATCGATAGACGCAGATAGCAGACCACTAACTTCGTCTTTAGTCAAATACCTAGTCAATAATATTGGTAAAAAATTAATATTCGTACAAACCGGAAAGTTTATAAGGAATGAACGCCGCTTTCACAGGCAAGATCAGTCGTTATAAATTATAATCTTGAATTATCATAAAAAGCAGTTATAGACCTGCAACCATAGCTCAGGACAAAACACAGAGTCAACAAAGAATAACTCGTAACAATAATTAAGTCGCCCTTTCAGGCTTAAATTCACCGAAAGTGGATTGTGCATCTAAAAAACCAGCTTGTATATGCAGTAGCATTGAACAGGCTGTACAATCTGCGTGTTTGTCAATGGAACTCGGAACTAATTTAAATATCAGCAGCCCTGCAAACAGAAGGGGATTGGGAAGGTAATTACTTCTGTAAGTGTTCCTAAGACATGTTCACCTAAACGTAGTAACCACAACACAGTGAATTAACTTTCCAGGACAGAGTTCAATGATGGGAAGGAATACTCTGTATTCAATGAGCCTGTTGAGAGTAAGCGTGTCAACAAATCCGTACTACGAAACTCTGTCAAAACACACAAATGGGCGATATTTTGGCCTTATCCATCTTCTAGATACTGAGGTTTCAAAAACCACAAAGTCCTGAAACCAAAGCAGCTACCCTACGATATCACTTGGCTACAGGAAAAACAACCAAACACGTAGAGGCATGTTGAGTAATATATATATATATATATAAACTTTACATTGCGGGCGTTGATAAAGCATATCCCCTGTTTGAAGTGGCGCCTTTGGCTTAACCTTGACGGCATTTGCGCGGTTTCGTTGATTCGAGTTGGAGCTAGTCGTCCAGCAAACGTAGTAGGCGCGATTTCGGTGCTTATTTTGCTCTTGTTGGATGAATTTATATGAAAATTGTTGTTCGATATTGTTCTTGAGCATTTACGTATTTCTTGTGTGACAGGACGCTTAAATACATGGTTCATGCAGTGATTTTTGGCATGCCGAGTAAGGTTTGAGTACATTTCAATGACTGTCATTCGATAAATTTCCTTGCAGATTGGCGGAAACTTGTACTCGGTCTCAAATTCCCCTATCAGCATTTGTGCAGTACCTATTACTGCTGCAGGAACCGAAGAATATGGTTGATATCAAATTTTGCATTCTTCCGCACTTATGTGTGGTGTTTTGATAGCTGAAAGTCAATGGAATGCATAAATACAAGCGAAAATTAGTTCTCCGTGCCGAATTTATTCCTTCAAGGGCCTACAGAGATTAAATCTTCAATTAAATAACACTGACGTGGAAGAAATTCCATTCTTCATTACTACACTTAATGAAAAGAATCATGTTTTTTATTTTAAAAACAGGAGAATTCGTAATGTTTTACTTTATGTAAATGCAGTTGCATACAGTTGCACTAAGAACTCAACGCAACTCGATACACAATAGTATATATACAAATAAACTGAAAAATAATGTCCTCCTTACCTTCTGAACAACTTGTCCTTATTCCAGGATTATAATTTTTCGCCTATGAGCCTGAGTTACGTCTACGAAATAGCAATATTACATCAGTTAAATCTTCCCCCAAAACCAAGGCCACTTGAAACCAATAGCAACATAGCAACAAGCGTCATTGAGGGGATATGCAATAAAGTCGCTCGTCAAATCGTAGGTCCGATGTATTGCCACCCAGTCTAACCCTTTTTCATCCATAAACTCTGCCTGTTCTGATGCACATGTAGAATTAGGTTGTGCTGATATTTTAAGCCAGTTTGTAGAATCCTGGGACTAATCCACCATATGACTAATGAATGCACGTTCCCCAATCAATAGGGTGTCTGCACTAAAAACATTAGTATTAGTCACCAAGCCTACTGCAGTTCTGACAAGTGAATCCCGATGCACATCAATGTATGGACGACTGCACTATACGCAGTGCGAATAGAGAAGGTAAGCGTCATGAGGGATGTCTCATATCTATGTAAATAACTCATTCGTACTCAGTAAGGTGAAAGATGGAGTAGTGGATGCGGTACCTGATTCAATCTAGATCGTATTGCATGGAATAAATACAAACTTCCTATAGTCTGTGTTTATGGAGCACGGTGCTCAACCCAAGAAACTGATACGTTATTAGTTAAATCGTTTGCCCACGCCTCCTCGTTTAGAAGTAATTACAAAACCATTGCTGGGAAGTTCAGTCTTCAGGAGGTCAGCCGGTTAGTTCCAAACCCCAATGCTTCAACGACTTACTTGCAGCTGTCGACTGTTACGCATGGCGAAAACACGTCCAGACACCCACCCGTGGTGACAACGTATTAGACCTTGTGTTTGGCAGTGGCATAATCCCACTCTCCACCTATGTCTGCTTCCGTTCGAAGCAGAGGAAAACACGGGGAGGTGGAGTGTCTGCACAATGTTTGACGCTGTTTCATCTGCTCAGGCTACAGAAGAAATTGGAGGATGGAGCTTCGAATGGTTGGAATACGTGGGATAAGACGGAAGGGAAGTGGACTCTGTATATTAATACCTGGAAAGTCAGTAGTCCACTGCGTTCATCGAAACGGCAACTATGAACACAGTGAAGAAGTATTTATCCTAATGTCACCAGGAGCATTCACGACCCTTATATGGTGGAAAGCAATTTCTTCCACGATAATGAAGGCAGGATTCGATTCGAAATATAAGAGAGTTACAGTCATAAAATGTTACGCTCCTACAAAGAAGAGAAGAAGAAGAGGGAATTCTACAGACAGCTACAAGAAGTAATAGACAAGACCCCAGAAGGTGACATCAAATTACCATGGTATATATGGGAAGCCGGGAGCACACAACACAACAGATGAACTCATTTGGAGTCGAGAAGTCCTTGGTGAAAAGAGGACAGGGAAGTATTACCGGACATCTGCGCCTTTTATCGCTTCATGAACGAAGGTGGTGTGCACAAGCACAAAGCATACACCAACGGCCAGATAGACTCCATTTCAATTGGAACATAGTTGGTTTGATGCCGTCAGTTGGATGCAAAGTCGAATAAAGGGACGTATGCGGGGTAAGACCGTTATCTAGTGCAAGTAAATTTAATGGCAAAAGCGGAGGCCTTCAAAGCAGTTGGGGATAAACTATAATTGAAGTCGAAAACTCGAAAAATGTGTTACGAAACTAAGAAATACACCCTCATCCCATCCATCCACTTTCTTACCACTTACTACTGGTAAGTAGTATGAGTTATGCTTGAATACTCCATAGCCTTGACGTTGTTTGTCATTGAAGTTTAACTCACTAAATGTGTTAATATTCTGTTTGAAGCATAGTAACTATTCCTCTGTAGTTAAGCATTACGTAATAAAAATAATTTATATTTGCTGTATACAATTTATTTATCTAGCTTTTTGTATTGGACATTGTGCATTTGAATGCCAACATTCCTTGTCTGGGATTCGCACAGTGTTTAATCAAAACGTGAATCGTCTTTGATGCAGCTTTGCTGTCTTTCCTATTGATGCAAAGGGATTCGCATTCAGACACGGACACCCCACAACTGGACGTCTGTGTATCATATTTCATTGTTTGAAGTATAATATAGCGAGGTGTTTTAGACAAATCATGTGTTTCTGGACTTTATGCCACACTTTCCGTGTGGTTTTACAATAGAGTAGTGGTGAAACAGAAGACAAATCAGTTCAGAGACAACGTAAGGAGAAGTTGAGTTCAGTCTACAATGAATTGAGTGAAGAATTGAAGAAGGGTGAAGAAGAAGCAGACAAAAGACAACTCCGTGACACACTGGAAACTGAAGTACTACTGCCTGCAGGTAAGACAGACCTCAAAAATTTATATCAAATAACTGCATCTCTATCCTTGGAGATATCAGTACAGATAGAACCAATGAAAGCTAGCGTAGAGAACCTAATTACTAGAAAGGAGAAGCATATTATGCGATGGATAGATCACTTTGAATGACTCCGGAAATGACCACCACTTAAAAATGGCCCAGGAATATAACCAACAGCTACAGAAATGTTAATGAGTACCAGTTCTCCATGAAAAGTGGAAATTTTGAATGACACAAAGCTACTGGAAGTCAAGCGGAATGGCGGAGTGACCAGAATGAATTCCACTGGAATCGCTGAAAACGGATTGGGAGATGTCAGTGGATACATTCATATCACCATGGCAAAATGTTTCGAAGGAAGGAAAGGTACCTACTGATTGGAGATAAGGCCACTTTGTCAAATTGGAAAAATAACAACGAATCTAGCTATTGCAAGAACTGGCGAAGAACCATGAGTTGGACAAATACAAAATGTTTGGAATGTATCTGGAATATGCCGAGGATTTATCTCTACCGTCACGCAAACGCAAAGATCCACAATCGAAAACCTACAAGTTGGCAGATGAAGCAGCGCATACAGGAATTCAAGTAAACGTAGAGAAGACAGAAATCATGAAGACAACACCAACAACAAGCACCAGCCACCATCAACTGGAAAAATTCGAAGGATGTTACTTCTTTCAAATATCTTGATTCCATTCCAATAACCACATGTGGAGGCACGTATGACAACGTCAAAGCCAGTCAGGGTTGAATAAGCCAAAGGGACCTCCATTAAACTCAAACCTATCTGGGAATCTCCTACAATCAGAATAAACAACAAGATTCAGGTGTTCACATCTGGTGTCAAGTCCATCAGACAGTCATAACTTCTGTATGGAACGGAAACCTGAAATGCGCATGTGGTGATTGACAATTTCGATCTCTGTATTGTTTAAATACTTACTGTTGACTGTTGATATGTTTCATATATGATTTGCATAATAATTCCGCTAAATACAGATTCCTGATTGCTGCCCTCTCTGAGTTTTGGTTGGATTCGTGTAATTCCGTCATCTTGAAATACTAATATTACAATTACAATAAATAACTACAAATTGGCGTCGCGATGGAGCTAAGTAACCTGGGAAAATTTCCTATTAATGGGTCTCCGTGGGAGATTGCTGATTATTTGGAATGCTCCGATGCGTGGTGCATTTCAAAGAATGTTCGGGATGACAAAATACCTGCTAATTTCATCACGACCGTTGGGCTTGATGCATATAGCCTAGTAAAGACTCTGGCGTTGCCAGATAAACCCATTTCTCTGTCATATGTCAAGATTCGTGAACTTCTGATAAATCATTTCCATGTAACTACATTTGAGACCAGAGAGAGGGCTCACTTCAACAAACTGGTTCTTACTCCCAACCAGAGGATTAGAGACTTTATTCTGCAACTCTAAATACAAGCTTCAAAGTGTAACTTTGGAGATCAGCTTCATACTCAACTACGTGATCGTCTAATTGCTGGAATCAATATTCCTAAGTTAGAGAAAGAGTTAATTCAGATTCCTTCTTGTACCTTCCAAACTGCTAAAGATGTATGTATTACATATGATGATGTCAATAATGAATACGCTGCTCCCACTACGTCAGTGTCTGATGTCATGCTTTCTAAAGTCGAAAATACAACTGGTAATGGAAAGCAATCCAAACTGCCGTCCACAGGTAATAGAATGCAGCCGGAGATCAAAAACATTAAACCGTGTTTTTCCTGTGGAAAGTTACATCTACGAAGCACTTGCCGTTTTCGGGGTGCTAAGTGTCACAAATGTGGTAAAGTTGGACACATCAAGACTGTTTGCAGAAGTTCGAATACTTTTGTTACTCAGAATCCTGATAATTCTCCCAAGCTGTCTAGCAAAATAGAGTCAATGTGTCTTTCAACCTTTCAGAATACTCAAGCTAATCCGATGAAAACCTCCACTACAAGTTCAGCAACTCAAGTGTCAACTGTTTTCAAAAATGAGGTAGCTGAGTTACAATGTGAACTGTCGAAAACACGAAAAGACCTGAATGAGATGAGAGAGCAACTGATTAAAATTGAGGAATTACTGCATATGCTTAGACTGCGTCTGTTGAATGCCGAGCATACAAGTACCCGTGAAAGTCCTGCAAAACTTTTCAAATCTCGAATTCTCAAAAAGCATCTGATGTCCACGACTTCTAATGCACATTATTACAAAGGGAATGACTTTAGACCTTCTGTTGGAATCATACTACAAAAAATGGGAAATCGAGTGGTGAAGATATTAGACATCAAAGATCACTCAGTTCATAACGGACACCAGGACAAAGTGACAATAAATGAAGTAGGTCGTTGCGATTATAATATTATTGATTCCGCTAAAAATCCTGATTTTGTAGATAATTCAGAAATAGGTCCAGATAATACTGATGAAAATAATATCACAGAATCAGTTAGGTCGAAGCTACTTTCAAGCAAACCGAGACATCGTTATAAACACGCGAGGAGATATTCGAGGTGTGGCGGATGTGGTGATTGACAGTTTCTATCTCTGTATTGTTTAAATACTTACTGTTGACTGTTGATATGTTTCATATATGATTTGCATAATAATTCCGCTAAATACAGATTCCTGATTGCTGCCCTCTCTGAGTTTTGGTTGGATTCGTGTAATTCCGTCATCTTGAAATACTAATATTACAATTACAATAAATAACTACAAATTGGCGTCGCGATGGAGCTAAGTAACCTGGGAAAATTTCCTATTAATGGGTCTCCGTGGGAGATTGCTGATTATTTGGAATGCTTCGATGCGTGGTGCATTTCAAAGAATGTTCGGGATGACAAAATACCTGCTAATTTCATCACGACCATTGGGCTTGATGCATATAGCCTAGTAAAGACTCTGGCGTTGCCAGATAAACCCATTTCTCTGTCATATGTCAAGATTCGTGAACTTCTGATAAATCATTTCCATGTAACTACATTTGAGACCAGAGAGAGGGCTCACTTCAACAAACTGGTTCTTACTCCCAACCAGAGGATTAGAGACTTTATTCTGCAACTCTAAATACAAGCTTCAAAGTGTAACTTTGGAGATCAGCTTCATACTCAACTACGTGATCGTCTAATTGCTGGAATCAATATTCCTAAGTTAGAGAAAGAGTTAATTCAGATTCCTTCTTGTACCTTCCAAACTGCTAAAGATGTATGTATTACATATGATGATGTCAATAATGAATACGCTGCTCCCACTACGTCAGTGTCTGATGTCATGCTTTCTAAAGTCGAAAATACAACTGGTAATGGAAAGCAATCCAAACTGCCGTCCACAGGTAATAGAATGCAGCCGGAGATCAAAAACATTAAACCGTGTTTTTCCTGTGGAAAGTTACATCTACGAAGCACTTGCCGTTTTCGGGGTGCTAAGTGTCACAAATGTGGTAAAGTTGGACACATCAAGACTGTTTGCAGAAGTTCGAATACTTTTGTTACTCAGAATCCTGATAATTCTCCCAAGCTGTCTAGCAAAATAGAGTCAATGTGTCTTTCAACCTTTCAGAATACTCAAGCTAATCCGATGAAAACCTCCACTACAAGTTCAGCAACTCAAGTGTCAACTGTTTTCAAAAATGAGGTAGCTGAGTTACAATGTGAACTGTCGAAAACACGAAAAGACCTGAATGAGATGAGAGAGCAACTGATTAAAATTGAGGAATTACTGCATATGCTTAGACTGCGTCTGTTGAATGCCGAGCATACAAGTACCCGTGAAAGTCCTGCAAAACTTTTCAAATCTCGAATTCTCAAAAAGCATCTGATGTCCACGACTTCTAATGCACATTATTACAAAGGGAATGACTTTAGACCTTCTGTTGGAATCATACTACAAAAAATGGGAAATCGAGTGGTGAAGATATTAGACATCAAAGATCACTCAGTTCATAACGGACACCAGGACAAAGTGACAATAAATGAAGTAGGTCGTTGCGATTATAATATTATTGATTCCGCTAAAAATCCTGATTTTGTAGATAATTCAGAAATAGGTCCAGATAATACTGATGAAAATAATATCACAGAATCAGTTAGGTCGAAGCTACTTTCAAGCAAACCGAGACATCGTTATAAACACGCGAGGAGATATTCGAGGTGTGGCGGATGTGGTGATTGACAATTTCTATCTCTGTATTGTTTAAATACTTACTGTTGACTGTTGATATGTTTCATATATGATTTGCATAATAATTCCGCTAAATACAAATTCCTGATTGCTGCCCTCTCTGAGTTTTGGTTGGATTCGTGTAATTCCGTCATCTTGAAATACTAATATTACAATTACAATAAATAACTACAAATTGGCGTCGCGATGGAGCTAAGTAACCTGGGAAAATTTCCTATTAATGGGTCTCCGTGGGAGATTGCTGATTATTTGGAATGCTTCGATGCGTGGTGCATTTCAAAGAATGTTCGGGATGACAAAATACCTGCTAATTTCATCACGACCATTGGGCTTGATGCATATAGCCTAGTAAAGACTCTGGCGTTGCCAGATAAACCCATTTCTCTGTCATATGTCAAGATTCGTGAACTTCTGATAAATCACTTCCATGTAACTACATTTGAGACCAGAGAGAGGGCTCACTTCAACAAACTGGTTCTTACTCCCAACCAGAGGATTAGAGACTTTATTCTGCAACTCTAAATACAAGCTTCAAAGTGTAACTTTGGAGATCAGCTTCATACTCAACTACGTGATCGTCTAATTGCTGGAATCAATATTCCTAAGTTAGAGAAAGAGTTAATTCAGATTCCTTCTTGTACCTTCCAAACTGCTAAAGATGTATGTATTACATATGATGATGTCAATAATGAATACGCTGCTCCCACTACGTCAGTGTCTGATGTCATGCTTTCTAAAGTCGAAAATACAACTGGTAATGGAAAGCAATCCAAACTGCCGTCCACAGGTAATAGAATGCAGCCGGAGATCAAAAACATTAAACCGTGTTTTTCCTGTGGAAAGTTACATCTACGAAGCACTTGCCGTTTTCGGGGTGCTAAGTGTCACAAATGTGGTAAAGTTGGACACATCAAGACTGTTTGCAGAAGTTCGAATACTTTTGTTACTCAGAATCCTGATAATTCTCCCAAGCTGTCTAGCAAAATAGAGTCAATGTGTCTTTCAACCTTTCAGAATACTCAAGCTAATCCGATGAAAACCTCCACTACAAGTTCAGCAACTCAAGTGTCAACTGTTTTCAAAAATGAGGTAGCTGAGTTACAATGTGAACTGTCGAAAACACGAAAAGACCTGAATGAGATGAGAGAGCAACTGATTAAAATTGAGGAATTACTGCATATGCTTAGACTGCGTCTGTTGAATGCCGAGCATACAAGTACCCGTGAAAGTCCTGCAAAACTTTTCAAATCTCGAATTCTCAAAAAGCATCTGATGTCCACGACTTCTAATGCACATTATTACAAAGGGAATGACTTTAGACCTTCTGTTGGAATCATACTACAAAAAATGGGAAATCGAGTGGTGAAGATATTAGACATCAAAGATCACTCAGTTCATAACGGACACCAGGACAAAGTGACAATAAATGAAGTAGGTCGTTGCGATTATAATATTATTGATTCCGCTAAAAATCCTGATTTTGTAGATAATTCAGAAATAGGTCCAGATAATACTGATGAAAATAATATCACAGAATCAGTTAGGTCGAAGCTACTTTCAAGCAAACCGAGACATCGTTATAAACACGCGAGGAGATATTCGAGGTGTGGCGGATGTGGTGATTGACAATTTCTATCTCTGTATTGTTTAAATACTTACTGTTGACTGTTGATATGTTTCATATATGATTTGCATAATAATTCCGCTAAATACAAATTCCTGATTGCTGCCCTCTCTGAGTTTTGGTTGGATTCGTGTAATTCCGTCATCTTGAAATACTAATATTACAATTACAATAAATAACTACAAATTGGCGTCGCGATGGAGCTAAGTAACCTGGGAAAATTTCCTATTAATGGGTCTCCGTGGGAGATTGCTGATTATTTGGAATGCTTCGATGCGTGGTGCATTTCAAAGAATGTTCGGGATGACAAAATACCTGCTAATTTCATCACGACCATTGGGCTTGATGCATATAGCCTAGTAAAGACTCTGGCGTTGCCAGATAAACCCATTTCTCTGTCATATGTCAAGATTCGTGAACTTCTGATAAATCACTTCCATGTAACTACATTTGAGACCAGAGAGAGGGCTCACTTCAACAAACTGGTTCTTACTCCCAACCAGAGGATTAGAGACTTTATTCTGCAACTCTAAATACAAGCTTCAAAGTGTAACTTTGGAGATCAGCTTCATACTCAACTACGTGATCGTCTAATTGCTGGAATCAATATTCCTAAGTTAGAGAAAGAGTTAATTCAGATTCCTTCTTGTACCTTCCAAACTGCTAAAGATGTATGTATTACATATGATGATGTCAATAATGAATACGCTGCTCCCACTACGTCAGTGTCTGATGTCATGCTTTCTAAAGTCGAAAATACAACTGGTAATGGAAAGCAATCCAAACTGCCGTCCACAGGTAATAGAATGCAGCCGGAGATCAAAAACATTAAACCGTGTTTTTCCTGTGGAAAGTTACATCTACGAAGCACTTGCCGTTTTCGGGGTGCTAAGTGTCACAAATGTGGTAAAGTTGGACACATCAAGACTGTTTGCAGAAGTTCGAATACTTTTGTTACTCAGAATCCTGATAATTCTCCCAAGCTGTCTAGCAAAATAGAGTCAATGTGTCTTTCAACCTTTCAGAATACTCAAGCTAATCCGATGAAAACCTCCACTACAAGTTCAGCAACTCAAGTGTCAACTGTTTTCAAAAATGAGGTAGCTGAGTTACAATGTGAACTGTCGAAAACACGAAAAGACCTGAATGAGATGAGAGAGCAACTGATTAAAATTGAGGAATTACTGCATATGCTTAGACTGCGTCTGTTGAATGCCGAGCATACAAGTACCCGTGAAAGTCCTGCAAAACTTTTCAAATCTCGAATTCTCAAAAAGCATCTGATGTCCACGACTTCTAATGCACATTATTACAAAGGGAATGACTTTAGACCTTCTGTTGGAATCATACTACAAAAAATGGGAAATCGAGTGGTGAAGATATTAGACATCAAAGATCACTCAGTTCATAACGGACACCAGGACAAAGTGACAATAAATGAAGTAGGTCGTTGCGATTATAATATTATTGATTCCGCTAAAAATCCTGATTTTGTAGATAATTCAGAAATAGGTCCAGATAATACTGATGAAAATAATATCACAGAATCAGTTAGGTCGAAGCTACTTTCAAGCAAACCGAGACATCGTTATAAACACGCGAGGAGATATTCGAGGTGTGGCGGATGTGGTGATTGACAATTTCTATCTCTGTATTGTTTAAATACTTACTGTTGACTGTTGATATGTTTCATATATGATTTGCATAATAATTCCGCTAAATACAAATTCCTGATTGCTGCCCTCTCTGAGTTTTGGTTGGATTCGTGTAATTCCGTCATCTTGAAATACTAATATTACAATTACAATAAATAACTACAAATTGGCGTCGCGATGGAGCTAAGTAACCTGGGAAAATTTCCTATTAATGGGTCTCCGTGGGAGATTGCTGATTATTTGGAATGCTTCGATGCGTGGTGCATTTCAAAGAATGTTCGGGATGACAAAATACCTGCTAATTTCATCACGACCATTGGGCTTGATGCATATAGCCTAGTAAAGACTCTGGCGTTGCCAGATAAACCCATTTCTCTGTCATATGTCAAGATTCGTGAACTTCTGATAAATCACTTCCATGTAACTACATTTGAGACCAGAGAGAGGGCTCACTTCAACAAACTGGTTCTTACTCCCAACCAGAGGATTAGAGACTTTATTCTGCAACTCTAAATACAAGCTTCAAAGTGTAACTTTGGAGATCAGCTTCATACTCAACTACGTGATCGTCTAATTGCTGGAATCAATATTCCTAAGTTAGAGAAAGAGTTAATTCAGATTCCTTCTTGTACCTTCCAAACTGCTAAAGATGTATGTATTACATATGATGATGTCAATAATGAATACGCTGCTCCCACTACGTCAGTGTCTGATGTCATGCTTTCTAAAGTCGAAAATACAACTGGTAATGGAAAGCAATCCAAACTGCCGTCCACAGGTAATAGAATGCAGCCGGAGATCAAAAACATTAAACCGTGTTTTTCCTGTGGAAAGTTACATCTACGAAGCACTTGCCGTTTTCGGGGTGCTAAGTGTCACAAATGTGGTAAAGTTGGACACATCAAGACTGTTTGCAGAAGTTCGAATACTTTTGTTACTCAGAATCCTGATAATTCTCCCAAGCTGTCTAGCAAAATAGAGTCAATGTGTCTTTCAACCTTTCAGAATACTCAAGCTAATCCGATGAAAACCTCCACTACAAGTTCAGCAACTCAAGTGTCAACTGTTTTCAAAAATGAGGTAGCTGAGTTACAATGTGAACTGTCGAAAACACGAAAAGACCTGAATGAGATGAGAGAGCAACTGATTAAAATTGAGGAATTACTGCATATGCTTAGACTGCGTCTGTTGAATGCCGAGCATACAAGTACCCGTGAAAGTCCTGCAAAACTTTTCAAATCTCGAATTCTCAAAAAGCATCTGATGTCCACGACTTCTAATGCACATTATTACAAAGGGAATGACTTTAGACGTTCTGTTGGAATCATACTACAAAAAATGGGAAATCGAGTGGTGAAGATATTAGACATCAAAGATCACTCAGTTCATAACGGACACCAGGACAAAGTGACAATAAATGAAGTAGGTCGTTGCGATTATAATATTATTGATTCCGCTAAAAATCCTGATTTTGTAGATAATTCAGAAATAGGTCCAGATAATACTGATGAAAATAATATCACAGAATCAGTTAGGTCGAAGCTACTTTCAAGCAAACCGAGACATCGTTATAAACACGCGAGGAGATATTCGAGGTGTGGCGGATGTGGTGATTGACAATTTCTATCTCTGTATTGTTTAAATACTTACTGTTGACTGTTGATATGTTTCATATATGATTTGCATAATAATTCCGCTAAATACAAATTCCTGATTGCTGCCCTCTCTGAGTTTTGGTTGGATTCGTGTAATTCCGTCATCTTGAAATACTAATATTACAATTACAATAAATAACTACAAATTGGCGTCGCGATGGAGCTAAGTAACCTGGGAAAATTTCCTATTAATGGGTCTCCGTGGGAGATTGCTGATTATTTGGAATGCTTCGATGCGTGGTGCATTTCAAAGAATGTTCGGGATGACAAAATACCTGCTAATTTCATCACGACCATTGGGCTTGATGCATATAGCCTAGTAAAGACTCTGGCGTTGCCAGATAAACCCATTTCTCTGTCGTATGTCAAGATTCGTGAACTTCTGATAAATCACTTCCATGTAACTACATTTGAGACCAGAGAGAGGGCTCACTTCAACAAACTGGTTCTTACTCCCAACCAGAGGATTAGAGACTTTATTCTGCAACTCTAAATACAAGCTTCAAAGTGTAACTTTGGAGATCAGCTTCATACTCAACTACGTGATCGTCTAATTGCTGGAATCAATATTCCTAAGTTAGAGAAAGAGTTAATTCAGATTCCTTCTTGTACCTTCCAAACTGCTAAAGATGTATGTATTACATATGATGATGTCAATAATGAATACGCTGCTCCCACTACGTCAGTGTCTGATGTCATGCTTTCTAAAGTCGAAAATACAACTGGTAATGGAAAGCAATCCAAACTGCCGTCCACAGGTAATAGAATGCAGCCGGAGATCAAAAACATTAAACCGTGTTTTTCCTGTGGAAAGTTACATCTACGAAGCACTTGCCGTTTTCGGGGTGCTAAGTGTCACAAATGTGGTAAAGTTGGACACATCAAGACTGTTTGCAGAAGTTCGAATACTTTTGTTACTCAGAATCCTGATAATTCTCCCAAGCTGTCTAGCAAAATAGAGTCAATGTGTCTTTCAACCTTTCAGAATACTCAAGCTAATCCGATGAAAACCTCCACTACAAGTTCAGCAACTCAAGTGTCAACTGTTTTCAAAAATGAGGTAGCTGAGTTACAATGTGAACTGTCGAAAACACGAAAAGACCTGAATGAGATGAGAGAGCAACTGATTAAAATTGAGGAATTACTGCATATGCTTAGACTGCGTCTGTTGAATGCCGAGCATACAAGTACCCGTGAAAGTCCTGCAAAACTTTTCAAATCTCGAATTCTCAAAAAGCATCTGATGTCCACGACTTCTAATGCACATTATTACAAAGGGAATGACTTTAGACGTTCTGTTGGAATCATACTACAAAAAATGGGAAATCGAGTGGTGAAGATATTAGACATCAAAGATCACTCAGTTCATAACGGACACCAGGACAAAGTGACAATAAATGAAGTAGGTCGTTGCGATTATAATATTATTGATTCCGCTAAAAATCCTGATTTTGTAGATAATTCAGAAATAGGTCCAGATAATACTGATGAAAATAATATCACAGAATCAGTTAGGTCGAAGCTACTTTCAAGCAAACCGAGACATCGTTATAAACACGCGAGGAGATATTCGAGGTGTGGCGGATGTGGTGATTGACAATTTCTATCTCTGTATTGTTTAAATACTTACTGTTGACTGTTGATATGTTTCATATATGATTTGCATAATAATTCCGCTAAATACAAATTCCTGATTGCTGCCCTCTCTGAGTTTTGTTTGGATTCTTGTAACTCGGTCATCTTGAAATACTAATATTACGATTACATTAAATTACTACATATTTATTGACATCACTCTTCATGTCATCTTTCAAATCGTAACTGAATATGAAACTGTGAGTAGGTCATGTGACTGAGAATTGCGGGTGAGGGACCGTATGACGAGATGGCGACAGCTTATGAACAATCGTGGGGCCAAATAAAGAACACGTGCTGACAACAGTATGGAGTCGCGACGTTCTGTTGTAACCCAATATTCTACTAGGAACCCAAAGGAATAATAATACAATTCCTATATGTTTCTTGACATTGTTTAGATATGGCAGAAGTGTTACAGGTATGTATCAAGGTCAATGTCAGTGTTATTTACAGAAATCCTGAACAGTAAAACAAATCAACCACTAGACATTAGTTTTGTCTTTTTGTGGAATCCATCACAGAAACACAACTTTCATAATTCAATTGAGACTTAACCATACGCGACAAGCATGTTCACCATTCAGACAGTGTTGTCCAGTTTTCAGTAATGTTTCAGTTAATGTTCAGACATGAAAGAAACTACTAGGTTATCAATCGTATACCTAACTCTAACCACTTGGTGGAAATGAACACTGTCGCTTAGATTCAAGAAATCGAAACAGTTTCATGATAATCGGTTGACTTGCTTCATTACTCCATAAGTGATTGAAATAGCTTTGTATTCTCAGGTGAATATGGGCATTCTCATTGGTATTGATAGAAATTCCATTCTGATGTGCAACCACAAGGATAAAACGAAGGTGAGAGAGATCGTAATATTCATTGGACCTCATTTAGATGTCTTTTATTTTGTCTTGCTCCCACGTGGAAGTCCCAGAAGGATAGCTCACCAGAGGGCAAGGACCCAGGTGCGCTCCCACTTCTTTTCACTGCGGGTTTGCCGTCCCTGGAATTCCTTAACGGCAGATGTAGCTATGGCACCGTCTTCGGACGCCTTTAAGCGAAGGCTGGACAACCATGCAGCGACACAAGGACTGCATCCAAATGGCCTATCCCCTTGAAATCGCATACACCATTCAGGGGTAGACAATTAAACTCATCGTTTTACTTCTTTACATTCTCTCCCGTCTTACTCTCCTGACAACTTATTAATATTATAATCATTATTACTACTATTATTATTACCGATATATATATTATTCTTCAGATTTAATCAGCTGACTGTCATTACGCTTTCCTATTTCCGTTTCTGTCTCTTAGTCTGAATAACTTCACTAATTATATCTATTATTATTATTATTACTATCTCTTTTCTCTTGTAGACGATACCGGAGGACTAACTGGCGAAAGGATCAACTCTAATCACAGTAGTAACAGTCTTAACACACCTCATACTACAAACCACATATAATTAATCCCAGCACTACTCCCTTTGAGGTCAACCAAAGCTACGACAGTCGAGTGGCGGGACAAGCTACGCAGAAGTTTACCGAAGATCAGGAACCTATACCTTACAATCAAGAAGCGAGCACAAAGAAATCAAATTAGTTTATACTAGCTCGTAAAAACGATATTGGATATTGGATCAGAACAAATCTTCAACTGAAAAAAATAACTGGCTTCACCGCTGATACACCATCAACTGCTCACTATCAAATAGATTCTGTTACACTGTCCATTTATCTGATTTGAACACTCACCTTTCGAAAATCGGTTTAAAAATACACATTTTCATTAGCCATTTAGTGAATAGTGGAACACAACTGTTGCATTCGGTAAATACAAACTGCGTTGAACAGAAAAAGGTTCATTTGACATGAAAGACTCTGTGATTTCATAATCGCCTATCTTCTGTTTCATGCACAACTTCCATTTTACCAATATGAATAGAGAATGAGCAAATCGTGGTGTAGAATAACATTACCTCACTCAATTTCATACATTCTTTTCAGCTTAATGCAAGCTGCCACATTAAAAAAACAAGTTGTAAAACAACTTTAACGTGCTTAGGTTTACCAACACGATTCACTCCCCAGGTATTAACAGTTGGAGGGACGGTATAATGAAATACAGCATGAGGATGGTAATTTATCTTTAAATGTTCCAATATATATATATATATATATATATATATACCTATGACTGGACACTAGTTACTAGTGTTCAATCAGAGTCTTCAATACAGTCCTACAGAAGGTCAATCGCGAGCCCGAATAGCTCAGTGATAACGTCTCTGATTGCATCAATGGGTGTCACGAGTTCTAATCTCATTAGAGACATGAGTTCTTTCAAAGTGGCAGATACACCTTGCTGACAAGTGCCAATTGGCAGGAAACCTAGGTCCAAGACTTCCTGCCAATTGCTTTCAGCCACCTAATATCATCATATATACGTATCAAAGGAAAAACAAATAAATAAATTTGTAGCGGAAACATTAAAAATAAGTTTTTTAAGTTGGTATTCACACACAATCAACTACAGTGAGCAGAAATTAATAGAGAGAACAGTCGAAGACGTCTTCAGTCTATAGACGCTATACCAATAAAATATATGAAATCCCACGTATGTCTTAAAATGGATGGCGTCATTCGACCACAATTACTCTAGGAACATCCTCTTTAGTAATTATTTGTCATGTGATTTCATCACTTTGCTTTATCCTATCTCGCATTTGATTCTCATATTTAATGTGACCGAATTTCCAGTCCTCTGGGTTCTGCTCATTGTATTGCATCATCATCTCTCCAATAGACTTCTCACACACTAAATTTCTACGTTTCTATCTTATGAGTCCTAACCACCATATTTTTTTATCTCTGGTTACGGAAATTTGCTTCCATTGTTTCCATTTCAAAGAAGAAAATTGTTCATTTATTCTTTATGCGAAAATGTCCTCTTATAAGATATTAATGTATTGCCATACTTTAGGCTAACTTATTATCCTTACGTTATATTTCATTAACAGATTATCACATTGATTCTTACTCGAGGATTGAAGCCTACTGAACAAAACAAACATGTTGAATATGCTACATATTTGTTCTATTAAATCTTACATGTTGTCAGCTGTTGAAGAGAACCTATAGAACTCAATTGATCCATGTTATTCTGCACCGGTCAATGTTTGTTCTGTCTAGGTGTTCTGTGTCGTTTTCTCATTTGTGATTGTGACCAATGAGGTTGAGCGCTGAAATCTCATTGTGTCAAGTAGTGATTTATTTATTCTTCACGGAATTTACTTCTTATTAATTGGCTGGTTTTTCTATAACGAATCACAAATTAGCATAACTTACTGATTAATTAGTGTTTATTGTATAAGATAATGTGAAGTGGTGATGTCATCTCACCATTTGTGGTAATTATCTCCACAAAATTGGAGAAAAAACGATGAGGTAATTTTAACATTCTGATGAGTTTCATACTCTTCTCCTGTTAATCATATCCCTCCATAATTGATATTTCAATTATTTTCCATTGATTTCCTTAACAACACAGACAGACGCGAAATACTCTGTATTCTGTATTATTCATTGGATTGTATTTCGTTGGACTATCATTGGCAGAAACATTTGTACAACTGGATGAAATAGCAGATATTGTTCCGAATGTAACGAAAGCACGAATTGAACCTAATTTTGAACGACATGGACCAGTAAGTAGATTAATTCCAACCATTTTGTTTTTCTATTACAACAGAAGTCGAGTTATTATTACACCCAGAACAAGAAGTATAATCAACCACCTCCAATCGCATTTGAAACATTTAATAAAAGTTCGTATGATATTCAAAAGGAATTGGTGAGCCAATCATTGTTTATGTATATAACAAAATATTAATCAAACCTCTTAATGTATAGCATATACCAACGCAATTTAGAATAAAATATTACGGTGAAGAGTATGGATCAGTTGGTTTATTGGCGACAGGTAAATACATATTATTCATAAAATCGATTAACACACTGATAACTAGTTTTATTTCAATTTTGATAATTGCATAAGCATGTATTGTTATTATTAAATACACAAACTTGTTACAATATGAGCATTATGAGATGGACCACACAAAACTAGTGAAACAATGGTGTATAAGGAATATTGGAGTTTGGATGAATGAGGGAGGTCAACTAGAAAGCATGTAGGCATACTTACCGAAATCGCTGAACACTCATCACTTCAAACTGCTTTCGGAGAGTGAATAAGGAAGGAAATTGCAACATGTTCGCGACTGATAACGATTCTTGGCTGTATTCGATACCGTCTCCAGTCACCGATTAGAATTACCTCTCAGACCCCACCCAGGGAGTGTTGAAATACCAACGGATGCTGACCTATCACAAATATTCTTCATCTCATCTCCCAAGATAACCAGTCCTCTTATTTCTCCATCCATTTCCAGGGATAGAAGGCAGAAATCGTTATAGGGGACCCTGGGGTGATATTCATGGCAAATGTCTAAGCGACTATAGTCAGTATTTCGAAATGACTATACTGAATGTAAGGCAGTTTCCACTGCCAGACCTCTTAATAACTAACACGATGATGCTATCGGATGCAAGCAATTCTACAAAGTCAGTGATGGTCGAATAGGCATAATCGCCAGACATCCTCAGCTCGAAGAGGCCGCGTACTTTGTGTGATGCAGGAGAGGGGCGTTATACTTTGATAGGGTAAATGGTAGGCTTAAAGTACTGTCCAATAATTATCAACATGGGCGACATTAATCCTGAGGAAATAAGTGTCTCTGTTGCTATTGTCTGTTACAAAATCTAAAAGTGTCTCTTCACACACTGCAGTTGATCATTTGATATGTGATGTGCCAACACTATGCTTTCTCATCAAATGCCAGTGACTATGACAAGCCTGAATTCATCTGGAAGATTTCATTCAAACTGTAGACGTGATAACCGAAGCGTGTAGTGACGCAACCAAATAACCAGATGCTATTAAGTGATCTTGCCTTTCTCGAATCAGCCAAATCCAAATATGTTATCATTCAACAAGACATTATTTAGCCCTGACGCTTCACATTCAATTTGCTTAGAAATCACAAGCCCATACAAGCAGAGAAAAGCTGCAAGAACATTACACAAGTCATCATAATTCAGGTAGTGAACTGGTTGGTGAGAATACATCTCAAAAGATTACTACAGGAGACTGAGTGGGAATTACATTCATTTAATCAGTTTAGATGTGTTCAAGTGAACATTCCACAGGTTTTACTCCTTCCCCCTCATAAATACCGAAACTAATCAGCGAGTAATTCTATATCAGATAGGTTCATTTTAATCACTTCCATTATAGATAAGATTTTATTTTGATAAATCGCACAGTGTTTACAGTTATATGAACTGATGACGTTTCGAGCACAAACTATTGCTCATAATCATATCAAGTTACTCACACAACTTTGATCTCTCATTTATATACATGTGGAATGGATTAGATATTGGATTAAAAATCAATGTGAGATAATGTACATTCAGAAATAATCGTACGAGTGTTGTTGATCAATTGCAATTAGATGGGAAAATTGGACGAGTGTTTTTACAGTCATAATAAGCTGCTTGTTAGAATGTGTTTGAATTGAAATAGAATTTTAAGATTATTTATTATCTTCTTCTGGTTTGACTGATGGCATTAATACGAGTGTTATTGATCTACTATAATCAGATGGAAGATACGACGAGTGTTTTAATAGTCATAATAAGTTTTTTGTTAGGATGTTGTGATGTGTTTGAATTGAAATAGAATTTTAATATTATTTATTACCCTCTTCTGATTTGACCTGCGGTAATAATATCTTCCATATCTCTGGTATTTGCATTGAGTCATTTTTGTTGCATGTGTTGGGTGTGGACTCGATAAATAAGGATTCCGTAATCAACCTCTCTCTCCACTTAGCTATATTACTTTTTAGAATTTTAACCCTATCCCACCCTATTGTGTGGTTGTTTGTTATTGCATGAAGTGCAATAGCTGAGCTTTTTTCTAAATTACTTATCTTTTTAGGGTCAACCATTCTTACCTTAGCTAAATTCTTATGTTCTGTTAATCTGACTATCCCTGACCTACTAGTTTGACCTATGTAGTTGACCTCACAGTTATTGCAGGGTATTTTGTAAATTATATTATTTTGTTTAATTGGATCCACCGGGTCTTTTAGCCTACAGAGCTTGTCTCTGAGTGAGTTTGTAGGTTTGAATGCCACCCTAATTCCTGCTTTATTAAGAATCCTACGTAGGGCCTCAGATGTGCTTTCCTTATATGGTATAACAGTGGATGACTTATATTCTTTCTTATTTGTGTTATCATTAATAGTTTCACCATTATTTTTATTTTGCTTTTGGTTTTTGGTGATCTTCCTAATGAATTTTATAGGATAGTTATTCAACACCAACGCTTCTTCTATCTGTTTTATTTCATCATTTAGGTCTTTTTTTGTGCTACTTAGTGCTATGGCTCGATTTGTTAGACACTTTACTAAGCCTGCCTTAACAGTTAACGGATGAGACGAATTAAAGTCTAAATATCTATTAGAATGCGTTGGTTTTCTATAAACACTAGTGTGTAGTTTGCCTTCTTCTATTCGTTTTATTTTACAATCTAACATAGCTAATTCTCCTAGTTCATTTTCTGATTCAAATGTGAATTTAATTCCTTCTACTTGTGAGTTTATATGTGTCAGGAAGCTAGAGATATGTTCTGTTTTTAACACCGTGAAAGTGTCATCCACATATCTCCACCATATTTTTGGAGTGGGGTTAAACGTATTAAGAGCACTACTTTCCCAGCTGTCCATAAATATGTCTGCTACAATAGGGGATATTGGTGATCCCATTGCTACACCTTCTGTTTGTTTATATATTTTGCCTTGGAACTTAAAGATGGTAGATGTGAGACATAACTGAATCCCTAACATAATTTGTTCAATGGGCAGCTTTGTCCTATGATTCAGTTCAGGATCCGCAGTTAGTTCTTTTTTAACTGCTTCTAAGGCCATAATGACTGGTATATTAGTGTAAAGACTAGTTATATCAAAACTAACCATTTTTTCATCATTCTCTAGTTGAATGTCATTTAGCTTACTTTTCATCTCATATGAATTAGTTAGTCTAGAGTTTGAGCGATTTCTAATGGGACAAAGTATTAGAGCTAAGTGTTTTGATAATTCATAAGTGGGAGTATTTCTAAAATCTACTATTGGTCTTATGGGGTAACCTGGTTTATGTATTTTAATAGTACCATATATTCTACTAGTATTATTAGTTTTAGGCATTTAATTTTTAATTATCACACAGCAATGCAGTATTTACAGCTGGATGACGTTTCGAGCACAATTTATTGCTTATGATCACATCAATTTAGTCACACCGTTTCACAATTTCTCTTATATAATATATATATATATATATATATATATATATATATATGCACACATGTGGTGTTGAATCGATAACAAAGCTTCGGTGATTAACCTCTCTCTCTCTTTATCTAACTGTATTACTTTTTCATACTCTCACCCTGTCCCACCCACCCTACTTTGTGATTACATGCAAATGAATGCAGTGTAATTAAGTGGCCGAGCTTTTTCTAGGTTATTTAACTTGGCAAGCTCAATTATTCTGAGTCTAGCTAAATGTCTTTGTTCCAATAATCTAGTTGACTACGATCTACTACTTTGACCTATATAACTGACCTCTCTAACAGTCATTACGTGGTATTTGGTAAATTATATAATTTTTCTTAATTGGATCTATTGGGTCCTTAAGTCGACAAAGTTTATTTCTGAGAGAGTTGGGCGGTTGGTTGGTTTAAATATCACCCTAATTCCAAACTCATTGAGAATCCTATATAAGGCCTCTGACGTTCCTCCTTTATACCGTAGTACTACAGAAACTCTAAAATCAATATTATTTTCCTCATTTTTATTACTTACCTTATTTTTTCTATGGTTCTTCATATATCTTTCCAAACAAATTCTGGTGGTTAGTTATTCACTAGTAATACTTCCTTCATTTGTTCGACTTCATTATTTAAATCTTCTTCTCGATTATTCAAACACTTAAGTGAGTGTATCTTTATCGACTGTGGATGGGATGAATTAAAGTCTAAGTAATTATTAGAGTGTTTTGCTTCCCTGTAAATGCTAGTACCTAACCCACCATCTTGTTTTCGTTTTATTCTACATTCTAGCATGATTTTCAATGAGTTTGGGATTAGGGTGATATTTAAACCAACCAACCGCCCAACTCTCTCAGAAATAAACTTTGTCGACTTGAGGACCCAATAGATCCAATTAAGAAAAATTACATAATTACCAAATACCACGTAATGACTGTTAGAGAGGTCAGTTATATAGGTCAAAGTAGTAGATCGTAGTCAACTAGATTATTGGAACAAAGACATTTAGCTAGACTCAGAATAATTGAGCTTGCCAAGTTAAATAACCTAGAAAAAGCTCGGCCACTTAATTACACTGCATTCATTTGCATGTAATCACAAAGTAGGGTGGGTGGGACAGGGTGAGAGTATGAAAAAGTAATACAGTTAGATAGAGAGAGAGAGAGGTTAATCACCGAAGCTTTGTTATCGATTCAACACCACACAGTCATAATGACGCAACGCTTATAACGCAGATATGGAAAGTGGCGACAAACAACAAAGGGCATTTGGAGAGACACAAATGGAGAAAATATATATGAGAGAAATTGTGAAACCATGTGACTAAATTGATGTGATTATAAGCAATAAATTGTGCTCGAAATGTCATCCAATTGTAAATACTGCATCGGTGTATGATAATTAAAATAAATTTATCTAATGCGGAATTACATTGCACCACAGTGCCCAAGTTCTATTTTTAGAGAGTAGCATACAGCCAGACTAGCATGATGAGTTTGAATCAGAACAGTGGGGATTATAAGCTCTTAACGTCATTTGCGAATGGTAAACAAAAGTAGTTCAAAACAGGTTTGTCTGACAGATATTTCTCTTCATTCTTTACGTTCCGAGTGGAACTTTGGACTCCAGGCATCAACCTTTCAAGTTTCAGTTATGTTATTACTGTTTCGTTTCACGGGACAGATTTTCAAGTCTCAAACCCAAACTTCCTGTCTTCTTCTCTGTTTACTTTCGGCTAGCAAACTATGTGAAGTTTAGAAATGAGTCAGCTGGGGATGGTACTTGGGCCCCACGCTTGGTTGGAAAGCATTCCACTATTGAATCACTGACGTAAAGTCGTTAGTTCTTGACCTCATCTACATTAAGTCTACCTAATCATAACGCAGTAGCCTAAAGAATTGATAACAGTTTTGTTTATCTGATATCGAACGCGTCGGTGGCACAGTGGTTAGGACTTTCGCCGACGCTGCACATGGTCCGGGGTTCGAGCCCACGCCGACGCACACCTGATATCTATGGTCGGCCTGCGAAATTTGGGCTACCGATATCCATGCTGAAAATTCCATACTTGTACCAAAAATACAGTGTGGAATCAAGCTGTAAATCAAAAATCAAAAATTAAATTAAATTAAATTACAGCTCTATCCAGACTATTTCTTCTATCAGAGTGATACCTATGGTTAGCAATCAAATGACATCATTCTGTATGTGACCAATTCTTTCAGAATATGAAGTTGGAGCATTGACATGAAAATAACATGTATGCCTTTTGGTAATTAGATTACCTCGTCCTGGATAGCAAACAATAAGTAATTTCATTGTAAATTTCATCAAGAAACAGCACTGACCATAAATTCGTCGGAAACCATGGTGCACTTTTCAACTGATTAGTCCTAGTTTGGTAATCAGGAACAGTGAGTACCGACTAACCCACCACGGTTCGGACATTGGACCTTAAGGGGACAACCTAGCTGACCAATCAGTCACTCGGGTTGGAATTCGATGATGTGTAAATTCCATATCTGTCATTCCATTATACGGTCGTGGGTGAGCATTTCTGAACATTCCCAAACTAGGACGAAGCAGCTATCCAATGCTGCCCCACCCACCATCCAGCCAATAGTTTCCGACGATTCTCTAACTAATATTCATTGATTCATTGAAACGAATCAAAAATCCACAATCTAAATCCTAATTAGTCACTTTCAACTCTTTCATATGAATGTATATTCTGTTCCTGTGTGTACTCGTTATCATTCTTATACACTAAAATATTCAAATCTTGATAAACAGTATGTATAGCAGTTCATCGCTTTTGTATAGATGATGTAACATATTATCCATGAGGTGCATTAAACGAGTGTGTGGTGCGTTGTTCTGACTAATTTTCGATATTTTCTCAACTTTGACCATCTAGAATACACCCATTTGTATCTGAATGAAATTTTCCTAATCCTATTGTGTATGTTCGACTATTTTATATTCCAGGTGCCTTAGTCATTGGATCATTAGATTATCCTAGCGCGAATATGAGAAGAATAAAAACATTTCCTGGAAGAGCAAAGGGAATCAAAGTGGAAATAATTGATGAGAGTAAGTTTTGCTGTTGTTTTTCAAAAGTCGTCCGGTACTGAAATGAAATCTGTGTTTGTCTAATATAAATGGATACTGTTCAGTGTACATTGTGTTTTCATAATTCATTTCTCCTGAATATTTCATTGTCAGACTTCATGAGGATGTCAGTAACAACTTTTGGAAACCCGTCAATAGTGCGTCAGTGGCACAGTGGTTAGGACGCTCACTGACCATGCATATGGTTTGGGGTTCGATCCCTATCCGACGCACACCTGATACCAAAATACTGTAATCAAAAACTAAATTAAAAATTAAAACATCAAATCAATTTCATAGACTTTATATACAAAAACTACGTGATATCGACCTATAGTTTCCTAACTTTATTATATGGTTGCATGATATTCAGTTGATAGTTGACGTTATTGAAATGTCAAGTAATGTCATAAATCGCAAAGGCTGTCTTATCCTTAGTCATCTAATCATCACTACCGATAATCCCTAATTTGTATTTGACAGACCTGTTAAGACCGAAGGGATATCCTGCATTTGGCTTTCTTCACAAACTGACCAGTGTAACACGGTACGACGAATCGTTAAAGATGGTAGATTTTAATAACTTTGAGAATCAAAAACCGTAGTTAGATAAAAAGGAATAGACTGAGTGGAGAAATATATTCCTTCTCAGTTAGTTCCTCATCATTGGCGCTACACTCATATAAAGTTGTTTCTTTCGTATCAAATTCCTTTTATAAGTATTGGTTTTTGTAGGAATTTTGTTTGATTGGTTGGAAGATTCCATCCTGAGTTTATGTCAGTTAGAGAACCATTGGATAACCTGGAAGTACTAGACAGCTGTTTCGTCCTAGTTTGGCACTCTTTACCGACGCGCACCCAGTACCATAACTCAAACCCAAGATCTTCTGGTAGCAAGGCGATCTAGTAGACCATTAAGCCACTGGGACCCGATAAAATGGCCCATGAATTCTAACTTCTGCAAATTCATGACATAGCGCGACGCTAAAACCCTACAAAAACCAATACTTGAAAACCGATCGGATGCTCACTAGCGACTGGCCCTATTCAGACAGTGACCTTAAGTTCTAGTGGGAAGCCGTGACCAGTAGGGTACAGAAGGTTGAAGGTGAGGCAGTAACTCGTCGAAAAAGACACTGCGAAGTGGACCATGCAACCAGAAGGTCCTTGGTCCGAACCCCGATGGGTACGTACTGCTGAAGACTCCCAAACGAGGATGAAACAGCTGGCCAGTACTCCCAGGTTTTCCAGTGGTTCTGTAACTGATATCAGCTAATGATGAAATCTTCCAACCAATTAAAATTGTTTTTCCAATGAATTGGTTATTTTAGTTCATCAGTGCGTCGGTGGCACAGTGGTAAGGACTCTCGCCGACCATGCACATGGTCCGGGTTTCGATCCCCTATTGACACACGCCTGATATCTATGGTCGGTCTGCAAAATTTAGGCTACCGATATCACATGCTGAAAATTTCATACCTGTACCAAAAAATACGGTATGGAATCAAGATGAAATAAAAAAGTATAGACGGGGGGTGGTGAAATAAAGAGGCTAAAACTTATCGAAACAATTAACTAATAGATGTTAGTAACAAGGTATCTAAGTTTTGAAGGAGGGGTTAAACTTGATTATGGCATTTAAGGTAAGTTAATTGTTAAGCGATAGCAACAAGCTATTACATAATCAAGAAATCTGTGACGTAATGATGACAGTGAAGAAAAGAATGACTCCGAAGAATAACGTAAAATACAAGCAAGTTAGTAGAATTAGCTAGAATTGTAAAGTTACAGTCAACTCTAACATAGCGTTTTGTTTTTCCTTTTTTCTAAACGGGTAAATGGGAATTTGGAAAACCCTCAGTGTTAACTAGGAGAATCTCTTTCGGATGTATTCATTTTCTCAGCTGTACAATCTCAAATATATATCGGCTATTTTGCATGCATGTACAGATTAAGTTAGTCAAACAAAAATACAATTGTTTATGGTTAATTTAACTCAACATGTGAAAAGTAGTGAGTTTTGGGTGGAGTTGCATAATACAAAAACAATCGGGAAAATCGGGTGTTAATGAAACTAGTGTAGTAACAAAGGCGATGAATTGTCACAAACACTTGTTAAAAGGGAATTACGTGATAATATGAAAATGGTTAATACTGATCATTCCATCTCAACAAACGCCTCCTTCAAAGTAATCTACAGAGTCAAGAATAACCCAACAAAGGTAATATAATTTCGTCTTCTTTGCATCACCGAAGCTCTGGCCATTCACATAGAAGAACGGGAGCTGTGCACACAAAAGAGAATTACTCAACCACTTCTATTATCATGGCAACAACTTTGTTGATTTTTGATGACTTAATTTTGTTTATTTGCCTGTTTCTCTAACCGCTTATAGTTCTTAAATTCACTTAGAACTCTTACGTAACTTCGTATTCTCTACTATGTTCCCATGTTTATTCTGAGTACAACTAAATCATCAAATTATTCATATTGTTACTTAACCTCCTTTTAATAACTGATTGTGACAGCTCATCACCTTTGTTACTACACTAGTTTCATTAACACCCGATTTTCCTGACCATTTTCGTATTGCGCAACTCCACTCAACCGATTGTGAAACAAATAGGCAGGAAGAAATGGAGATGGTTGGCCATACTCGGAGGAAACCACCAAGTGACATCACTAGACAAGCCACTACTCGAGTGGAACCCGAAAGGGAAGCGGCGAGTTGTTCGTCAGTGCGAGGGTGACTTGGATGAGGTCATGTGAAGACGAGATGAAAGCTTGTGGGCAGACTTAGAACGGGGTGAAAACGTTGGCAGAGGACCGGACGCAATGGAGGTGCGCAACTGAAGCCCTATGTTCCTCTAGGAATTAAAGGAAATAATAATAATACTCAAAACTTACTAATTTTCACCTGTTTAGTTAAAATAACCATAAACAATTGTATTTTTGTTTGACGAACTCAGTCTTCACATGCATACAAAATAGCTCATACATATTTGCAATTGTACAACTAAGAAATTGAATTCGCCGAAAAGAGACTCTTCTCTGAACTACGTGTTTTGTTTTCATTAACTAGGAGACTTGAGGTTTCTCGTTTGATCCTTTGTGCAAATATGGGTAGAGACGACTGGGAATTTCCAGAACATAATAAGCCGACTCTCCAGTAGTTTTCGAAAGTCACGCACTCATGAGACGATAAACGAATGAGAATGTCAGTTTACTGATATCTTTATGAAATTAAACTTTTAGTGTTGTTTATTATTTGTGCTACGGGTTCTTAGTGAGACACAAAGTTGCAGCAGCACGTCTAAATTGGATTCTGTTCACTGTAGAAATTTTTAGCTAGATCCATGATTGTTGATAAACTTTCTTTTCCTCCTTACACCATCTCCTCTTTATCACCATTGAACTAGCGCGCGGCTTGTCGACTTTCCCCTCTCAGGTGTTCTGCTATCTGGTGTATGGTGTCACTTAACCGTCTCCTGAGAGGATGCACAATTTATCTCCGTTTCCTTCTACATATCTGTAGGACAGCAGCTTCTTGGTTGGTGCGTTGACAGAGTTCCTTGCTGTTCATCCTTTCCGGCCACTCAACTAATCTTCAATATCAAGACAGTGAAGTCATCTATTGGTGAAAGTATGCAACAGGCTGTGCTAAACATGTGATAAATTGGGTGTCTGAACAAATACAGCGGCATCGACTTGACATCATGATTAAAATTCATATCTTGTTCCCTATGTTTAGTGCACTAGATCCACCCACTGATTTTACAGTAGTCAAAGCTTGTCTTGTTTTACCCATCCAATCGTTACTCACTCCAACACCCTCGTACCTGTCACCTGTAGTTGAATTGATTCTCCCAGGCGGAGTTATTGAAAGAGCTGACTCCCTATAGATTATGAAATTAGATAAAAACCATTAATTGTATAACTATTTCAGTGGTGAATGCCATTATTATTATTATCATTACAATCATTTTCTCGTTTTTTTCAGAGAGTTTATTAGCAATTAAATGGTTGGATTTAACAGTTATCAATGAATCTGGGGAAGAAACAGTGGAAAATGGTATGAGTAAACTGTTTCACTATTTTATATATATAATTTTTCTCTTCTGTGTGTGATCTGTCTTCGCTGTGAGCAGAAAGGAAATGAAGATCTGTTGTTGAAGCCTTATGTTTCACTTAGAAAGCAAGGGAATTATACTGGTATAATAGTATTAACAATCGCTTTGGATGCTCCTCACGATTAAATCATAATTGAAAATAGGTTGTTTGGCACAACCAAGTAAATCTATGTCAGTCGTATGGAAGACTGTGACTAAGATGTCATTGAATGCTTTGCGTCTAAGAATATGTCCAACTCTGATAACCATAAATATATAACTACTGATGTAAATAATAATAATAATAATAATAGTAATTGGTAGAAGTAGTCTTATATACATAAATCAATATATTGTTATTAAGTACTCAGACCAAACAAACTCATTCTCAATCAGTCTTAAAAAACCCTTAAATCATTTTCATCTATCCTTCTTCAGTCGAGGTTGTCTGTGTCATATACCCCAATGGAAATATATTGATTTACTTCGAGAAGGTAAGTGAAATGAACATTGACAGATATTTGTAACTCATGAGATGTTTCTCACACCTGAATTGTTGAAGTGTCAAAAGTGTAGTTTTTTTCACTATTATTTGTTTATATGAAGATTCTCAAGCCATAGCACCACCATGACGTCCGGAGATGATTAGGAAATGGAATAAAAGTGATGACTCGGTCATTTTAGAAAACACAGCGTACTTCTCAGATATCTTTTCTCCCCTTCAAAATCAAAACAATCTGGTTACTGTTAACTGTCATTCTTTGCATTGTGGTTGTGAGTGAGCTAATACTGTGTGTGTTCTGATTGACGAGAAACTGACAGAAGTGTCCAGTGGTATCTAGTAAGTCTTCTGTGAGAACAGATACTCGCCGATTATACCGACTAGCTGTGGCGCTATGTACCACTAATTACGAGGAGTTAGAATTCATTGGCCATTGATTTTCGTGCAAATGGATCGATGGTAAACAGATTCATTTCCCATCCTGGAAGTAATGGGTTTGATGTCCGGTTGGGTGTCTGGTGTATCCTGCTAATGACTCATCAATTGTGTACAAGACAGCTGTTCGATACTATGTCGTTTTCAATGATTTTCTGACTGATATCAGTCCGTTATCTAACTTGAATTCTGATTAAACTGTCACAGAGATCATATCAAAGGTTAAGTAAATGTAAAATAAAGAGGTGTCTGTTAGCTGTTTGAAGCAATTGCGAATAACGTGGCTTCATTCTTACTGAATGCTGATGGGATTCGGAGAAACATTTATACACTACACAACACGGATTATGCAGGTAAACATTTATTCCACTAACTTGTATAAAAGCTACCTCTAATGACTGTTTATTTTCAGGAATTAATATCCTGATTTCAGTCTAACTGACAAGATCACACCTCGTAATGTTGGCCTGTACACGCAGGCACCAACAGCTAATCAAACCATAAGATGCCTCACATAAAATGCGCACATTTGTTACTGAGGTATTAGTTAACTCATCTGGAAAAGTGTGACTTGTTTTCACGGCGAAACTTTCAGCGCTATGTCCTCATCTTTGCGGAGTTTGATTATTTTAACCATAATTGTATTCTTGTTTCTCTGATAAATTGTAATCAGTCCCAGGTTACATCTTAAAAGTCTCACTATTTAAAACGCATAACTTGACAGTGGCGTGAGGCCGGTGGTATCTAACAGACTGATAAGGGAATAGTGTACAATCTCTTATTCATTTTCCATCGTATGTAGCCGAAAAATTTAGCAATACACTGGACTGACTCAGCCTCCAAAAGTGTATCAATGTCTAGCGTTATCCCTATTGCTTTGACACAACTCTAATCCATGTCACCTCCTCGAGTGCTTTGTTGACTCAAACTATAAGGCTTAAGACAAGCTTTAAAATATTTTTTCTAAGCATAGAGTTCTCGTGTAGGTTTGACTGTATGAATCGAATGAAGAACTGACACGATTACTCATTTCCATCCAACTTGGCATAGCAGAATGAATCTTTAGCTTGAAAATGAACGAACAGTCTCTCAAGCATTTCCATTAAAATATATGCACTTCCTATACCTTTCGTCTAATTAATTACGTGTCAATTTGACCATTTGTTCATTCACCTCTTGACCATGTTGAGATTTCAAAAATGGATCTAAGTAGGTGAAAATGATGACATACGAAACTTGATTATTTTCCATTACCACTCTTTCTCTTTAGATACCAGAAGAAGTTGAAAGCGCAGATGTCAGAGTGACTGTTGAAGATGGTTTAGATTTTGTGACAGGTAATCATCAGATAATAAGAGATTTTTATTACATTCTTGCTAATGTAATTTTAAAATGAAATCGCTGTGTTTTCTGATGATATATGTCTAGCGACAGTGTGGATTTTGACATGAACTGATATCAGTTAGAGAACCGTCAACAACAACCCCGGACCATTCTGATAGTATACAACAGCGTGGACATTTGATTTCATTAGATTATGCGTAAATACAAACTCTCCTCATCTAGGCTTTGAGGCGTAGTAATTCAAATTCACCCGATGTTATCCCGAAACTCATTTGGGAAAGGCCTACAACAAACTGGCACATACTGATATATCCATCGTAACATAAATCTGTAGCATTCAGTGAATTAGGCGGTGCTCTTATCAAGAAGCTATTCAAGTCATTACTGATGCACTATTTGCCGCATATAAAGCCGTGGAGTTGAGTAATTCCATTATGGGTAAATTTTGTTTTGATAAAGTCTCACAGTGTTATACAGTAATGTTTACTGATATCAGTAAACATTACTGTATAACACTGTGAGACTTTATCAAAACAAAATTTACCCATAATGGAATTGCACTCTACCACAGTGCACAAGTTTTATTCTTATATCAGTGGAGTTGAGTAATCTGAAAGGTTCCTATGAAGTGCATTATTCTGTGAGTGAACATTATATTTAACTGGAAAATAAAGCTCACCTGGTGTTTCGACGATAAACATAAGTACATAATATGAAAGATTTACTATTACAGTCTAAAGAAGAAAGTGAAAGCCAAATTTACAGGGAGATAATAAATGCTACTGCTTGATATAATGAGAAGATGAGACATGATTGCCTTACAGCCTGATTGAAGTGATTTAAACACTGGACAAGCTTATCAGCACTGTACCAGTTTACAGTCAACTCACAGAGACGAAATGTTGTAGGCCACTGGAATTCTGGCTGAATAGCAAGAAAGGATGGTAATATATGGAATGAAATTTATCATTTGCAGATAACGCACCATATTTTCCACCGGGTACCTAAAATTTACAGATGACAATATAATATGACCTGCGTCATACCACTATGAATCCTTAACATTAAAATAAGCAATATAACAATATGGTTGGATACCAGCGTTAAAGTCACTGCAATATAACTATGAAGTGTTACCGCTTAACGTGAGGTTTCCCGCTACGCATTATTATTATTATATCCTTTAATTCCTAGAGGAACATAGGGCTTCAGTTGCGCACCTCCATTGCTCTTGATTTTCTGCAAACTTTTTCACCCCGCCCCAAGTCTGCCTACACGCCTTCATCTCCTCTTCACATGACCTTATCCAAGTCACCCTCGCACTGACGACCAACTCGCCGCTTCCCTTTCGGGTTCCACTCGAGTAGTGGCTTGTCTAGTGATGTCACTTGGTGGTTTCCTCAGAGTATGGCCAGCTAACCCATCTCCATTTCTTCCTGCCTATTTGTTTCACAACTTAACCAAGATACAAAGAACATCTTCATTGCAAGCATAAAGGACAAAGCCGAGACAAAAATCAACACTAGCGAAGATGTCGGGGTCGAAATGCACTGGGACAATTTGAAAACGGTGTGGAGTCAAATCTACATGGAAGTTCTAGGCAGAAAGAAGAGGCAGGACAAACAGTGGCTCACTACGGACACTTGGAAAATAATGGAAGAGAGAAGGATAGTGAAACAAAAGATTATCTAGTGCACTGACGAGCAACATAAACAGGAGTTGAATGCAAGCTACAATACACTGAACAAAAGAGTAAAGAAGAGTGCCAGGGAAGACAAAAGAAAATATTATGAAACCATGGCAAGTGAAGCAGAACAAGCTGCAGGCAGAGGAGACCTCGCCACACTCTACCAAACAACTAGGCACCCATCGGGCAAAAGTTTGACGCAGATTAAGCCAGTAAAGGATAACAATGGAAAGTCAACCACCAAAGAGGTGGAGCGAAGAAAAAAACTGACGTGGAATTATGCTACTGTCCATTCCAAGCAAAATACAAAGCCGCATTATCCTGGAGAGAATCGAACAAGCCCTAGATGAAAAACTTCGACCGGAACAGACCGGATTCAGGAGAAATAAATCATGTATTGATCAAATCGCCACTCTACGGATCATTATTGAACAAAGCTTGGAATGGCAGTCACCTCTTTATCTCAAATTCATCGACTTTGAAAAGACCTTCGATAGCGCAGCGTCGATCGAGAGGTGATCTGGCAACTAATTCGCTACTACGGGGTGCCGCCGACAATTATACATCTCATCCAACACTTGTACGAAAATGCTGCATGCCAAGTAATTCACAACGGGAAACTCACGGAATCCTTCGAAGTCAATATGGGAGTAAGACAAGGCTGTCTACTATCGCCAATGATTTTCCTGATGTCAACAGATTGAATAATGTGACAGACAGCAGCGGGCAGAGAGGAAACACGCATAAAATGGACCCACACAAAAGACGAACTTGAAGGATCTGGACTTCGCCGATGATATATGTCTTATTTCCCACTCACTCGAAGATATGCAAGTGAAAAGCAACAAGTTGACAGAAGAAGTAACAATGATAGGACTTCAAGTGAACATAGATAAAACAGAGGTGATGAAGATTCCTGGCCAACACCAACAGCAGCAACAACAACAACAGACAACAATCGGTTCCTGGTTGGTTCGCTCCCAGAGATCCCTCACCATTGTTAATCTTTTCTGGGCGGACATCTGATCTTGATTATTGAGCGAACACAACTGTTTATGAAGGTCTGTAGTTTGTTTGAGGTGCTCTTTATGACGCACCAAGTCTCTGATCCGTACAGTGAGTAGCACTGACTTCACATTGGAGTTGGAAATCCGGATCTTATTTTTGATGCTGAGTGCTGTTGACCTCCACACAGACTTGAGAGTAATGAAAGCTTGTCTTGCTTTTCCGATTCTTGTTTGATATCCTCATCAGTTCCACCTGTAGTTGAAACGATGCTTCCCAGTAGGTGGATAGGTAAAGGAGGTTGTTTCTTTCAGATTTCTCTCATTTATGCTGGCTGATTGCTGTCTGTTGTTGTTGTTGCTGCTGTTGGTATTGGCCAGGTATCTTCATCACCTCTGTTTTATCTATGTTCACTTGAAGTCCTATCTTTGATACTTCTTCTGTCAGCTTGTTGCCGCTACGCATATGTATCACAAATGTATGATTAATCTAAATACTTTAGGTCTTCAAAGTTGAAATTCAATATAGATTTATCTCATTTCTCAAACAATGAATTATTACTTCAACTAAATCATAGAGTACCAGATCATCAGTTGGCTACAATCAGGAGCGAAAATGTCCATTTAAGATAGGCTTTCTCGATTCTCATTACAATTTTAATACTTATCGATCAAATCTGTTTGTCATCCCAATTTCAGCTCGTTGAAAAATTCATACCGAAATATAACAGCTTTTATAAACACTTGAAGCCATTAGACTGATGATGTTAATGTCATTGTAAATGTCATTGTCAAGTATCGTATTATTTGAAGTAAAGTTATCTTATATTTTTTGTTGATTAATTATACTGAACTGAGGTACTCAGTCTCTATTAACATGTCGGCTATAGGTACAAACCCTTCAGTGATTTCTAAATGTAGTTTATCATGATGTTAATTGTCTGTTGGTGGTGATCAGTGGGATGGAGGATGCGGACATTACTTCCTGCTTACAACTCTTCAACTGAATGTACGTGTAGTTCCAGTAACGGATACCGTTCCCATTGAGAATCGACTTCAGCAGCCATCGTCTCAAACACTGAAAAGCCTGAATACCGATCCGATTGTCATAACTTTAATGTCATTATTTTAAAGTAACTATGAATCATCTATCTCTTCTTTCGATTGCATTTTAGGGAGTGGTAGAAAGCTTATGATATCATATGGCACAGATAAATCACTTTGGTTTGCGCTGAAAATGCGTATGCTGATGGAATTCATTCCAAATCCAAGTATGCGAATCAAATTTAAATTTATTCCACTGTGTTTTAATTTACTGATATTAATGACTGGAGGTTTTGTAAGAGGCTTTCTCGTCACTGATCAGTTATATGATGAGAACAGAAGACAAGTATACAGTGAAAATACTGTCTGATAGGTTTTCTATAAAGGCTGAATATTTCCTGTTTCCACAGTCATTCAGTTAATGCATATATCAACCATTCAGAGCTCAGCATTTAGAATTCATTGGATTCATTCTACCCACACATCTGCCAATCGTTTCTTCAAATGTTTGTAGCGGTTATTTTTATAGTTGCAATCTTGATTGATTTCATCCAAATAATTAACATGGTGGCATACCGACTGAATTATCCTGGGTATGGGTTCTTATCTCAGCTGAGTGCTTCAATCGAAAATGCTTGTTGTCTTTCTCATTCCGTATTAATTTGTTTATTAGATATTTTCAAACAGTGAAACAGTATTATCTATTAAAGAACGAAGTGCTGAATACAATTTATTGTTCATAATCACATCATCAACTATAACCACACAACTTCGAAACTTTCGTCTTGTAGTTTTCATCATTCCCTCCTATTTGTCGTAGGAGTAGTCGAATTTTCCGGATGTCTGGGTGGACACGTGTCGAATGATTCCTATTACACGTATTTACAGTTGATTCGATAAACAAAGCTTCTGTTATCAATCTCTCCCTCCACCCAATTACATTAGATTTCAAAACTGTCATCTTATCCCATCCATCCTATTGTATGGTTGTGTGTGCTTATTGCATGTAGTGAGTGGTATAGCTGAACTATTCTCTAGATTTCTTATCTTATTAGAGTCAACTAATCTAGATTTTGCTAGGTTCTTGTGCTCCGCTGGTCCGACTGACCCCGTACTACTACTTTGACTTATGTACTTGACGTGACAGTCATTGCAGGCAGGGTATTAAATAAACTAAATTATTTTGTTTTATTGGCTCAATTAGAAACAAGGTTTGTTGGTCAAATGAATCTGTAGAGCCAATAAAACAAAATAATTTAGTTTATTTAATACCCTGCCTGCAATGACTGTCACGTCAAGTACATAAGTCAAAGTAGTAGTACGGGGTCAGTCGGACCAGCGGAGCACAAGAACCTAGCAAAATCTAGATTAGTTGACTCTAATAAGATAAGAAATCTAGAGAATAGTTCAGCTATACCACTCACTACATGCAATAAGCACACACAACCATACAATAGGATGGATGGGATAAGATGACAGTTTTGAAATCTAATGTAATTGGGTGGAGGGAGAGATTGATAACAGAAGCTTTGTTTATCGAATCAACTGTAAATACGTGTAATAGGAATCATTCGACACGTGTCCACCCAGACATCCGGAAAATTCGACTACTCCTACGACAAATAGGAGGGAATGATGAAAACTACAAGACGAAAGTTTCGAAGTTGTGTGGTTATAGTTGATGATGTGATTATGAACAATAAATTGTATTCAGCACTTCGTTCTTTAATAGATAATACTGTTTCACTGTTTGAAAATATCTAATAAACAAACTAATATGGAGTTATTTACTACCACAGTGTCCAAGTTTTATACATATATTAATACCACATTACCATGTGGGCATTCTGGTTTTCTACGTGAGTAGTATAACTCTGCGTCTCCTAGCGAATTTCTCTGTAACTACTGATCTCTACAAGGATTATAAATCTTCTGAAGGCACTCAGTTACAATAAATTTCATTGAGACAGGCACGTTTGTCATTCATGTAATTTTCCGAAATTCCTATTTCCAACTGAGGTAAACAGTCAGTATTATTGTCGAAGAAGACAAAGAATTTTTCGAAATGTTATCAGTCAGGTCAGAGAGAACAACAACACCAAGAACATGCATGCATCGGTGCCACATATCTTCTTCATTACTTCAAAACACTCAATTGCTTGAGCATATCTCACAGATGTAAATTCAGCGGACATATAATGCTGTTGTTCAGGTAGCATTATCTAAATCTTTCAGCAAATTGTGTGGTATCTACCCAACAAAATCAATCGTCAGATGATTTCAGATAATCATCATTGTTATTATTATTATTCTTAAAACAGACTATGCCAATACGTATAATGAGAGTAAATAGTTTCACTGACCTCACTTACAATTAGCCACACTTTTCTCTTATGCAAAAACATTCTATGTGAATTAAAAAGACATTGTTTTCTGGAATGTAACTCATGACAACAGGACAAGAAAAGAAGAATAGAAACAGAAATACTCTTCTAAAAGTGAATGGTTATCACTGATTGAGCATATAATTTGTTTTCACAAGGAATAATGTGTAGTGTTTCTCAAACTACTAGACAATTTTAGAACGTCCAGCTTTTATAGGCTTATCAGAAGACTGAGTGGATAAGTGGTGATATGGTTGACCTATTGCCATTGAAAACAAAGTGGAATCTGTCTTATCTTTTCGGTAAATATTTGTTAATGTTAATATCAGTGTAGTTTAAAATGCTTTTTCAATTGAAATTACCACGTTAGAATTTTCGCTTATTGATCTAGTCATCATTATTAGATATTATTATCTCTTCTCTAACTGTATTATCCTCTAATATTTGTGGAAGTCAAATGTTTAGACAGGGATTTCATTGTTAAAAGTAGGATGTTGGAGACAATCATCAGGAAGTCGTACATCTAATTTTTGTGCTTACGGCCACTAGTCAACAAAACGTTGACAGAACAAATATCCTGTCTGAGACTTGAACCCGAATCACGAAATCCCTCGGCCACAGATGATAGCTTCAGATCTCAGCTAGGACATATACTGTCAAGGTTTGAGCTACACCTACCTGAAGAGTTTCAATAAATATAAATCCTAAGTCCACGTCTTCTTTATGCCCAACTATCTGACATCATTTCAAAGTACTCATAACCATAGTGAGATTTTTACAGTTTTGTGAAGAAAATTAAAATCTGACTTGTAGAATTTAATCGGCGCGTATCAAAAGCATTCTGATGGATCACATAATTCAGTCAGACCATGTGCGTGATTAAGGCGTCGGTGGCACAGCGGTTAAGACGCTCGCCGACCATGCAAATGGTTCGGGGTACGATCCCCGGCCACGGACGCACTCCTTTACCTCGCTAAGCCAGAAATAAAGCTGGTAAAGAGGGAAGGTTGGGCATGAGGCTAACAACCCCATCCTGTAAAATTAAACACTGCTACAGAAACTTCAAGTCACTAGCTTAAAGCCCTATGCTCCACTGGGAATGTGAAGGAAAAAAATATGCGTGATTCGGGTTATTCTTCAGTGACTAATCAACACAGCATTTAATGTGATGAACAGAATATCAGAATTTAAGTCTTGTCAAAAAAGAATAGGGTGTACAGTTGCTGTTTAAGAGATATGGTACACTATGAGTGGTGGATTTGAAAGCTTAGAGAAGAGGTTGAATTTCTATCAAATTAGCCGATGACAAACTGCAGATTGGTGCACTTTGCAAATTCCAAAATCAATATCAAGTTTATGACTTTCTCAATATCCATTTTATTTTGTTCCGATAACGACGAAATAAATCTGCTCCCATTAGTCTTATTGTAGTCAATACAAATTTTCTCTAAAGACCTTTGTTTACTTGGGATGCTATGTAATGAGGAGTATTTACTGTCCCTGTTCTTTTCTTTGAATAGACATTTGCTCTGTACAACGATCGTTTCAACAGTGCACGAATGCATCAACAGAAGACGTCACCTGTTATTGGTGTGAAATTGCTGGTTTCTGTAGCAATGGTTGTGATTCTAAATACCTGTTGTGGCAAAATCCACATTGTGATGTAAATGTAAGTAGTACCTATCTGAATAATAATCGTATTAATAAAAATAAATAATGATAATGACAGTATTAGTAATAAAAACAATAATAATAATAGTACCAATGAGACTGAGATTATCGTCTGGGTGAGAAAGGAAATAAGAGACAATTCAGGGAAGAAAACTTTCTTGATTAACGAAGTCATCATCAGAGGCTGTGATATCGTATTCTATTTAGTGAACTCCTACGGGAGTCTGTTATTGAGTATTCGGGAAGGGTTGTGAGGTAAGGTAAACAGTTGCTGAAAATTGGCTATTGAAGATATAGAAATGCGAAGGAGCCAGCGACAAGTGAATGGAAGTAAAGCTTTTAAAGGTTTCATATGCACTGAACATACATGCATGTTTATTTCGTCATATGTGACAAAGATGCTCACATTGAATTTATACGGAAAGATTTCAGCCACTGCCACAATTCTATAACTTTCATGAGAAAAGATGAGATACATGGTGGTTTTCGTTTGCTTTTGGATATTCTGTTGGAAAGCAGATCTTACAGTTGAATTCACAGACCGTTTCACAGAATTCAACATCTAGTGATCAGTATATTATTATTATTATATCCTTTAATTCCTAGAGGAACATAGGGCTTCAGCTGTACACCTCCATTGGTTTCGGTTTTCTGCAAACTTTTTCACCCCGCTCCGAGTCTGCCCACACGCTTTCATCTCCTCTTCACATGACCTTATCCAAGTCACCCTCGCACTGACGACCAACTCGCCGCTTCCCTTTCGGGTTCCACTCGAGTAGTGGCATGTCTAGTGATGTCACTTGGTGGTTTCCTCAGAGTATGGCCAACCATCTCCATTTCTTCCTGCCTATTTGTTTCACAGTCGGTTGGTCGCTCCCAGAGATCCCTCACCATTGTTAATCTTTTCTGGGCGGCCATCTGATCTTGATTATTGAGCGAACACAACTGTTTATGAAGGTCTGTAGTTTGTTTGAGGTGCTCTTTATGACGCACCAAGTCTCTGATCCGTACAGTGAGTAGCACTGACTTCACATTGGAGTTGGAAATCCGGATCTTATTTTTGATGCTGAGTGCTGTTGACCTCCACACAGACTTGAGAGAAATGAAAGCTTGTCTTGCTTTTCCGATTCTTGTTTGATATCCTCATCAGTTCCGCCTGTAGTTGAAACGATGCTTCCCAGGTAGGTGGATAGATAAAGGAGGTTGTTCCTTTCAGATTTCTCTCATTTATGCTGAATGATTGCTGTCTGTTGTTGTTGTTGCTGCTGTTGGTGTTGGCCAGGAATCTTCATCACCTCTGTTTTATCTATGTTCACTTGAAGTCCTATCATTGTTACTTCTTCTGTCAACTTGTTGCTTTTCACTTGCATATCTTCGAGTGAGTGGGAAATAAGACATATATCATCGGCGAAGTCCAGATCCTTCAAGTTCGTCTTTTGTGTGGGTCCATTTTATGCGTGTTTCCTCTCTGCCCGCTGCTGTCTGTCACATTATTCAATCTGTGACATCAGGAAAATCATTGGCGATAGTAGACAGCCTTGTCTTACTCCCATATTGACTTCGAAGGATTCCGTGAGTTTCCCGTTGTGGATTACTTGGCATGCAGCATTTTCGTACAAGTGTTGGATGAGATGTATAATTGTCGGCGGCACCCCGTAGTAGCAAATTAGTTGCCAGATCACCTCTCGATCGACGCTGCGCTATCGAAGGCGTTTTCAAAGTCGATGAATTTGAGATAGAGAGGTGACTGCCATTCCAAGCTTTGTTCAATGATTATCGTAGTGTGATCAATACATGACTTGTTTCTCCTGAATCTACAGTATACTACTTTTTATGGTTGGATCATTTTAGGTAGAAATAGAAGTAATCATCTATTCCTTATCCTCATGAGTAAGGAGGATATGCATCAGTGATACACTCAGATAAGTTTTCATGCAGGATGGATAGACTACATGTTTTATTGACAAAAACGTGGGAGTGAAATTGAGGTGAGAAATATTGGAAACAGTGAGGTAGAAATAGCTGTTTATGAATGTTGAATTGAAACGAAGATGTCCAACTGAGATTCTGATGAATTATCTACCCACTAATCAATTTCTACAGTCAATGAAATAGTCAGTGTACGTGTGTAGAGGAAAGTGCCACTTTTGGACACTTCAGTGTGTGTTTATTAATTCACTTACTCCTTAGAATAGGCTGGTGACCGAATGAACCACACACTTCCCGAACGAATCTGTGAACATTATCCTGAGTAGTTATTGACAGGACAATGCAAGAAAATTAATGCCTCAGTTCTCCAATATCAGGTGAAGTCAGACCACCGGAATCATCTTTTAACGTATTCTACATGGTGGGGTCGAATGGCAGAAGAGGTATTATGTTAAAACACTCGTGTATGGCAGAGGCACTAACGATTCGGCAATATAACTCTGAAAGCTGTGTGTAGAAGAGGTTTATTCAAACTTCTTATTCTACTATGGACTTCTCTACTTGTTTACCTCTACTTTGAGTAATTAATTCACTATTATCACTCTAACATATCCCTTTTATTGATTTCGCTAGTTGTTATTCTCTCTCACCGTTTTCGCACTTGTCAAGTGAATACTAAACCACACAGCTCCTCATTTAATGACAGTTCCCTTGGCAGAACTTCAAAACCATACTTCCATAGTTTTAGTGATTATCGAAAAATATCTATTTATTCAAATGAACTGGAGTCAAGATTTGACAGAATAGTTCCGAGTTAGAAGTAGATATTTGCAAAAAATTATATTTGTAAAATCTCAGTGATATTGAAATGAATAATTCCAACGTTTCATTCGCCAACCTGGCCCGAACTTCTTCAGGGAAATTAATCGAAATTAACATAACAGAGGTTGATACATAAAAGAAACATCTCTTGTTTTTAAAAATCTTCGTCCAATCATGAGTCACAAAGCAAGTATTAACAAGTATAATAAACAAAATTGTATGAATTAATATCACTAAAATGTTTGAGCATTGTGGATTAGATTAAATAAAGTATAATTATATTTTAATAGTTAACACACAATGATAAGTTTTGTTATTGGTGATATTTCGAGCAAAATTACCAATAACAAAACTTATCACTGTGTGTAAACTATTGAAATATAATTATACTTTATTTAATCTAATCCACAATGCTCAAACATTTTAGTGATATTAATTCATACAATTTTGTTTATTATACTTGTTAATACTTGCTTTGTGACTCATGATTGGACGAAGATTTTTAAAAACAAGAGATGTTTCTTTTATGTATCAACCTCTGTTATGTTAATTTCGATTAATTTCCCTGAAGAAGTTCGGGCCAGGTTGTATGTATGTTTTGCATCTGTCTGTACAGTCCAGTGACATTGTACCCCACTCCAGTCCTCAAATGGCACCTGATTGGGTAGTGGCAGGTCGAATGTCTGAGAGTAACATGAAGATAATCAAATGAAAATGAAGCGGAAGCTGGTTGACATTTATAGAGCCAGTTGGAAGTGATAGTACAGAGCAGAATGTAGTAAGAAGATGTCCCTGAAGTCCCAGATTTCACTCAAGGCACCAGGTCTGTATGATATGCATGATGAAATAGTAAACGAATCTGAGAATTGAGTCTCTCCTGGGTCGTTACAAAATTATACGACGTATATAAACACTTCTGAGATTATCTTGAATAGACTGTTCTATTTTTCTTTACTTTACTTCAGGTTACATCACCTTGTTTACTTGCATTTGAGGATGAATCACACGTCATATATCATCAAACTCCACATCCTGCTGAAGAAGATTCGATTCAATTGAGTGATGTTCGCTCATTTTATACAACTTATACAATTTCAGATTTTAGAACTACCAACCCTCGTTTATTTTTATTTATTCTAATACCAACTGCATTAATTTTCATTATTATGACAATCTCGTGTGGTTTATGGCTATTGGTGGGGAGAAGAAGGCCGAGGGTGAGTTATCCTGTCCAATCAAATACTGAATAACAAATGTATTTGTACTGTTCATGTTTCCTTTCTCTCTATGAGACTCGTAGCCGAAATTCATTGAATTGTTAGGATACAAACCTATTTTTTATTCCTTACGTTTTGAATGTGAACACATACGTCTCCAAGCTTTGTAGTGCCAGTAAACGTTCTATGGAATGCAAAGTAGAAGATATAGACTTATCTCTTGGAATGCTTGAACACCGTACATATGCAACAGTGAACAATTAATCAATAACAAGTTTCTCTGTCAATTTTGCACACAGAAATGATGGAGAAGATTCGTAGCTCAAATGGATTATATTGGTGCAATTGTGTTTTCTCACCTAAATGGTAAAATTTACAAGTTTTAATTGGATTTCTAGATAACACAAAAGTCGGTACCGACTTCAGCGTTGTCTAGAACGACATTGATGCTTGACAGTTTAACCATCCAACTTCAAAGGAAACAACTATGTCAATAACTTTTTACATGTCATTATTTAACCTCACATAAAATAGGGACTTTGTACGTGTGTTCGCATGTATCACCACCCAGCTACTCACTCATTCACTCACTCAGTTGTGCATATATTTCCTTTCTGACTTAAATAAATAAATTGATAGATCCACTTTCAAACTAGAATTTAATTTGTTGATGGTGACTAGCAGTGGAATACAGAATGCACATTTCGTCCTATTTGGGACTCGTCTTCTGGATGTACCTGCATTTCCCAGTGGGTGATGATGTTCCCACTGATGCTCGAACCCAGTGCCCGTAGTTTCAAACACCATTAGACCGCTGGGGCCACGAGAGCCACCTCTTGTACAACGGTTCGTATTAATTTAATTTAATTTTAGATTTTCCCGTCGATTGATTGAACCGAAGTGCTGGGATTCCACTGCTAGTCACCATCCACAAATTAAATTCTAATTAAATGCCCAGACATCGTCGAAGCATCTGCACAAGAAGCCGATATGTCAACCTGAGACCGAGTACTTCAGTCCAATCAATCGATGGGAAAATCTCAAATCCACTTTGAAACTGTTTATTTTCTTCAAAATCCTTCATCATATTGGTTGTTTTGGTTGGATCAAGGCAGTTATTTATACAAAATACACTGAATTACTTACTACTTTTATAAATCCCTACACTATCTACATAGTTTGCCCATATGAGTCGACCTAGAATTCGCCTATTTGTAAAATCGAAAATTCTCATTGGTCAACTTGCTTACATTTGAAACAACTGACAAAGCTGATATAAGCAAGGCGTTATGATACAGAAGAAAGGCATAGACATGTGTCCCTCAGTTATTCCAAAAAATTTCCATTTATTTTTCTGTATCATCGTTATTTTACTGGGCTAAACATATTATTATTATATCCTTTAATTCCTAGATGAACATAGGGCTTCAGCTGCGCGTCTGCATTGCTAAACATATGTTTGTGTAATAATATATATATATATATCTTTTACTGGAAAATTGGATTTTTCACCACTTCAGTATCAGTCTGTGTGTGTGTGTGTGTAGTTCAGAAGTAGAATACTGATCAACCACCCATGTGGTTCGGGTGGCAATTCCGCAATCATTAACCTCACTTAGACGGCATTAGGCTTGGTAAATATGTGTGAGTGAGAATAGCTATCCCATTGCTACTAAAAAACTTCTAAGCTGATCAAGCTGGAAGCGTCATGTTCCACGTGGAATGTTAATGCATAAAATGATCCTTATAAATATCGATAATAAAAACTGGTAACAATTTACCTTGTGTCTAGCATTAACTTAATCCCAATTCACTAGTTTTCCTATTTAAAAATAATTAGTCCGTTATCTAAATTTGGATAGTGTTATTAGACGAAGAAGAAGATTACACTTAACTCCTTTTTGTCACTCTGTGTATATTTTGATTGGCCTTTATTTTTCACATAAATTAACTTGACAGGTAAATATATGCCATCAGATTGTTCAAAATGCATTGCGCCAATACACATTACATTTTCCCTGTAATCTAAGTTTTACTATTCATAAAAGTAATTCGTGAGAACTTGTTTCGACTATTGTTCATCAGATCTTGACATGCGATCTTGACTTCTTGTTTTTAAGCAAAGCTTTTCATCAGATATAATTGTGTTAACCAACTGTTATAATCGCATATGCTACAACGTTGAGTTGAAAGTAAAATACACTGGTGCACTACATTGCACGTTATGCAAACAAATGTTTTTATAAACTCAAACGCTTTATGAAATTTAACCATTCTGTTACACGTAACTGCAGTTTCACTCGCTTTACCACTTCCCACGTGATGTTGCTCATTTCATGTGATTGTCGAACAGTCATTTATTATTACTTTGTGTTCTTTGGATTCCTAAGGAATATACAGCTTCAGCTGCTCATCTTCACTGTATTTCGCTCTTTTCTACCATTTTCAGCATAGTCCACGACTACCCACACGCTGTCATTTCCTCCACCTCCCCTGTCCCCTATGATATTCAGCATGTCAATCGCGGGCACAAGTCAGACTCTTTAGCTGCTGTTCGGATTATATTCGAAGTCTTTGCACAGCGTTGTTTATTTGTTAGGCAGTACATTTTCGGCTATTTTCTACTGCTTATACATCCTCATCAGCCATCTGAACTTCAGTATACAGCCATTGAAGTTAGCTGTTGAAAATGCTTATGTTTGTGTCTCCGAACCATAGGGAAGAAGTGAATCAACGCCTATCTCGCTCGCACTCCGAATCCAAGTTGGCTTTGACATTCTCGGCATGCGTTTCATCTGTAGCTGAAGCGATACTGACCAAATACTGTCTAAACACATTTAAATGATATACTTATTCATGTTTGTGATTCCCCTTTGATTTATCTGAACAAATTCTGGTATATTGGCTTGTCAGACGGATTTCTCAACATTACTATGACTCATAATTCCGAACTACTTGTTTGATAGTGGGTGTGTGAATGGCCTAGCGGATAATACCTTGGTGCTTGAAGAGACTGGTTCTTAATTTAAGTAGTGACGCCATGAAAATGGGAAGCATGTACACTCAGCTAATGAATCCCAATTAAGATAAAACGCCTGTTCTGGATTCTACTGCTAGCTACCATCAAACAAAACAAATTCTTACATTTCAGTAATCGTTAAATTCACATAGTTTTTGAAAAGAACTTCACGCTTCAAGTGATCATTATTCGCTTTCTTATCATTAGTCTACTGAGACTTCTTGCTTCAATGATGGTAGGTTAACAGTCGGAGTAAAAGGATACTAAACGAAACTTCATGACAAATAGGTTTACCCTTTTCGAACCAATATGGGGTGATGTGTGTGTGTGTGTAATTGTAAAGAGTTCTAAACTACGAAGAAACTGGTGTCTACTTCTCCCTCTATAAAACTTGAAACCAACCCATCCAACCCTTACAAACTGAAACTGAAAAAGACTTCGATGTAATAAGTGTATTCTCAGAAATATACATTTTACAAAAACAGAAACTGAAGAAAGATCCTGTGAATAGCTCTCAAGACTGAACATTTCCTTTGAATAAATAGCATAAGAATGTCTTTTATGCCATCTGATATATATATACTTCAGACAATCTGACCCAGTGAAATAAAAGAGTGAGTTTGATGGTCTTATCTGTAAAGAATGTGTGACACATTACCTGAATGAAGAATGATTCATGACTTTATGGTGAATCGATCTGCGGTCCCCTCGAGCATGTAATTACTTATTTCTCTGTAGACTATTAGTGGAATCCAGAATGTGAATTTCATCGTAATTGTGACATCATATTTGTCATATGAATTCACCTGCATTTGATTGTCATGTTATTCCCACTAAGATGTGAACACATTATTCCTCTTGTATGTATGATTTCATATTATGACCATTTCATACTTGTGAATTCCGATCGACATATATATCTAAACCGAACCGTTTCATGGCAACTGACTATTTGAACTTCTTCAACAAATGCTTTCATTTTGTCTTAATTATCTAGTTTCCACTTACTCTTTGGAAAACTAAATGTGAACTATGACTACTAACCATACAAACATTATATTGTTATTATTCCCTTACGTTTTGATTGATACATAGGGCTTCAACAACACATATCCACTTTTTTTCTATCTTCTGCCGTCCTCTTCATCTGAGTCTACGATTGACCAAAAGATCATATATTCTTCATACGATCTCCTCCATGTCACCCTCTCACTGACGACCCACTTGTCACTTCCCAATGGGATTCCACTCGAGCAATGGCCTGCGTTGCGCGCGATGTCATTCGACCGTCTCCTCAATGTATGTTCGATCCATCTCCACTTTCTCCCATATATTTGTTGCGCAATCGGCTCTTGGTTGGTTTGTTCTCGCAGTTTCTTGTCACTAACTCTTTCTGACTGACCATTAAATCTTCAGCATGGAGCCAGAGAAGGCAGCTGCTGATGAAAGTCTACAACCTGTTGGAAATACTTTTCGTTACACGTCAAGTTGCTTTCCCGTATAGAAGAACCGACTTTACATTTGCGTTGAAAATCCGGATCTTCTTCTCTATGCTGGCTAAGTACCAAGCAGAAGATTTCCAAATTGGTTTCAGGTTGATGAAGGCGTATCTTTCCTTTCCGATTCTGACTAACCTTGACATCTTCATCCGTTCCACCTGTAGTTGAAACGATACTTCCCAAATAAGTAAAGGAGGTGACCCCTGTTAAATCTCTCCCGTTGATAGTGATTTGTGCTGGTTGTCTGTGCTGTTGCGGTTCGTTGGTTATCTTCATCACCTACATCTTCTCTATGTTCACTTGGAATCCTATCTTCGCCTGACCTGGTTATTTGATATAGTGTTCTGATGTCTCTTTTGCCTGAGGCTTGTTCTGCTTCAGTTGCAGGCCGGTTTGTCGTAGAAATGTCATTTGTCCATTCTACCACTTTTCTCTTTATTCAGTGCAGTGTACATTAAACTCAGTTTCTTCTTCTGTTGCCCATCTTTGAATTGAGTTATCCCCTCTTTTACCATCCTCCTCTCCTCGACTAGCCTCCAGGTATCCGTTGACAGCCATTCCTTGTCTTGTCTCTTCATCCTTCCTAGAACAGTCGTACACGTTTCCTAAAATATCGCTTTCAGAGAGTTGCAATGTTTTTCAACTAAGGTTTCCTCAGTAATTGCACGCAATGTCTCCGACTTTGCTCTGATATCTGTAGCAAAGGCATCCTTTGTAGTTTCATCCTTCAGTTTCCGAATGTTGAACTCGAATTGTGGTCTGTCTCCACTGATTTTCATGGATTTCACCTTCACCTCGAAGGTTCCCTGAACTAGATCACGGTCTGAGCCCATATCTGCTCCCCTTCTCGACTTTGTATTCAGCAAGCTGCATCTCCACTTCCTTGAGCAGCATTGAGATGAAATCTATCTGGTTTGTTGTGTTTCCGTAATGCGAAACCCATGTTGCTTTGTGTATATCCTTGTGTTTGTACACGCTCCCTCTGATCACCAAATCGTTGAAAGAGCAGAAGTCTGCGAATAATTCTCCGTTCTCATTCAATTCTCCGAACGACAGCTTCTCGACCCATGATGAGTTCTCTTCCTATATTATCTGCTTCCACTTTGGCACTCATATCGCCCGTAAGAATTTTGATGTCACCATTTGGGATGTTGTCAGTAACTGTTTGTAGTTGTCTGTAAAAATCATCCTTCTTGTTTTTTTCCGTGTTGTTTGTAGTTGTGCAGCATTGGATAATTGTTACCTTCCTTCCTTTTGAGTTGAACCATACTGTCATGATCCTGCAGGATGAAATTGGTTCCCACTGCATTAATGCTTTGCCTGCCACTGGTGAAATCAGGATAGCCACTCCCTCAATGTGTTCGTGGTTGTCGTCTGAGTGACCGGAGTAGATTATTCATTCTTCCGTTGAAAGTGTTGTCAATTCACATCCAGTCCATATGCTTTTGAAGATACCCAGTACTTCCATTCCATATCTTTGCATCTCTTTGACTACCTCAGTAGCCTCTCAGTCTCGTACATTGTACGGACATTTCACGTACCCACTCTTACTCTTGCTTTCTTCAAGAGAAGACACATAGGTTGACTGACTTCCCTAAGGCTCTCACCAGCCCACTGTGTCTTTTAGCCCCTCCGATTCGAGCAAAGAATAAGATTTTTATTTGAAGTCTTTGTATTTTTAACATATTTTCTGTGTGTTGAAGTTTCTCTAGCGGTATGATAGTTTTAGTTGTGTTGGGTTGCTAGCCCACGCCCAACCCTACCTCCTTACCCGGGCTTGGGACCGGCTAAAAGACTAGCGAGCTAGTTAACTAGGCGATGTTATATATATATATATATATATATTAGTCAGTAGAGAGAAAATACTTTTTTCTTAATTCTTTAATTACTGATTCATATATTGCCATTTATTGACTCATTTCAATCTTGATCATTTATAGGACAGTACTCAAAAAGCTGCTACAACAATCATATACGATTTGAAACGTGGAGGCAAAATATAAATCATTATCAAAGTGTACATTTGTATTCAGGATTCATTTTATTTATTTATTTATTCACTTATTTTTCAATCTTATTTTATTATTACTTCATCTTAACAGTATTAGAACCAAATGACTATTATTATTATTATAGTTATCATTATTAATATTATCATTTCAAACAGAGTGACTATAGACGATGCATTATCTTCACTTAATGTGAATTATTTTCATTGTAAATTGGAGAATAAACCTAGTTGATTCTATTTCCATTCTGTAAACATCTGACATTTATTGTCATTTTATGCTAAAATATGCTAAAAGAAGTTATACAACAATAGCTGGAAGTGACAGTTTTAGTGATATGACCTATTGATTGATGCATCCAACATTATACTACAGCATAGCGGTCCGGAAATCTACAGTAACTAACTACGGTTTTAGCAGTCAGCCGACATGACACATTGCCACATATATATGATGTGTTCTGCTGACAGTAGTATGTTGTATGTGTATGCGTGATGTGTTCTTCAAGTGTCTTGAAAAGTGACGAGGACGAATTATTTCGTGAAAAGGAGAAATGAAAGCCGCTGTGTAACAGTATAGGAAGCATGAGATGTAAATAGAGGAAGAATTAGAATAATAATAATAATTTGCTTTATTCGAAAACACTACTCGTGATACAGAATGCAATTCTCAGCATTTTACTGCAGTATTGCATCCAGTTAGTACATTATCAATAAATAAAATTCTACATAGATTAAGGTAATCTCAGTTCATTATGACAACAACATATTGGCATGTCGGTAACAAAGCCTAAATTGAACAGAGTGTTGGAAGGTGTTAGAAAAGTAGATGGTAGCATATTTACTGGCGTAAGCGGTAACAAAAAAGTCGAGATATACAGAGTGTGAGAGAACGAAGAATGTTTTAATAGAGTTAGTGAGGAAGAAAGAAACAGAGCAGCACATAACAGAAAAAAGAGAAAAGGAAAAGAAAGAAAACGTACCTATAAATGATATGAATTGATAAAACGAGATCCAGTTGTTCTACTGACTATTTAATAAGTTATAGGTATCACGCCTAATGCTTTCTTTATCTCACAGAACACGAGCTAAGTAGGGTATTATTGAGTGAGTTTTTGTACTTACTAGTGCGAGCAGATACTTTTCTATATAGGCTTCTGGTTTTGCCTGATGATATACAAGGGGAGAGTTGTGAATGAAGAGGATGGTGTGAGTTAGATAAAATGGATTTAGCCCATTTTTCACATGAGTCTATGTGCCTGTCAACCAGAATATTAACAAGCTGGTTAAGTGGCACGTAGCTTACTCTGCTGACAACCTTTAAAATCCTGTGTAATAAGGTATAGTCTTTCTTCAGTAGCCCAGGCAAAACTAAGGGGAACAATAGAGAATAATAGGCAGAATGCGAGAGTTAACGAATTGTAGGAGTAAGGGTTGGGTTATACCAGAATGTCTTAACTTCTTGATATAGAAGGTAAAACGGAATATTTTCTTAGAAATCATCAAGATATGAGACGACCAGGAAAGATCAGTAGATAGAATGACGCCTAGGTATTTAATTTCCGACTTGATTTCTATTTTAACTTTAAATAATCGCGATTAACGGGGAGGTTTATATATATTTTACCGTCATTTTGAGAAGTGAACAACTCTGTTAGTAAATACCTCTGTGTCCTGCCGTACTTGGCATTCGTAATTAGTGTACCTGACATTGGTGAACTGGAGAAATAACTTTCCCATGTTGTTATTTGTTGCTCACAATGTTACTTTATCGATCAACTCGGTGACATTTTGTTGTTTTCATAGGGCTAAAAGCTTTGAAGCTTTTAGAAGTGGCGTTTTTTATATGGGGTGATGTTGTTATTATTCTCACGCCCAACCTACCTTCATTTTTATAGCTTAATATCAGTTAATCAGTTAGGCGAGGTTTAGGATTATATCGACTGGGAATTGAACCAGACCACTTGGGTGGTTGCCAAGCATTTCACTATTCAGTCACCAAAACTAATCAATGACATCAAGGTTGAAAATATGTTACTGTGACATAACAGTAAGATAATGACGTATATGAAACGGTGTATATTTAGTGTGTTGCCTTCTATGAAGATGATTCTTCTGTTTATAGTATATTTTGAGATGTTTTGTTGAAGAGACTTTAAATTATACTTCACTGCGAAATACACACACAAAGAAAACGCAGGAAAACGAATTCCATTAACTTGACAAAACGTCAAACAAGGATTTCATACTGAATATTACAATAATCTGCAGTTGTTAGTACAGTCATTGTAGTGTTTTGATACACACTTGCATAATCTACACTGCTGCCCTCCATTTAAGTGCTTCCAGCTTCTCTTATGATACTGTCACTAGAATGTATTTCATTCTCGAGTTACATTTAGCAGGACTTGTGGTTGAGCGCAACTCATATCGACCAATAGTATAGCATAAACCTATTTCACATAGTGTTCGGTACTTAGAAATGAAGGAATAAAAGTACTTTAGGACTCATCATCCTACATACGTGGAGATATCATTCAGATGAAATATGTGGAAGATGTTTCTGTTGCCGTGATAACTGAGTATGCTAAGAAAGATTATCTAATCATATATATATATATATGACATATTTTTTACTCTGAATATCTATCAATCAACGTAATAAAGCTTGAATATTTATCCCTACATGCATGGAAGCATATAAAGATCTCTCTGCCTCACACACCTACAGCAGCACTACTGATGAACACGATGAGTACTACCCACGTATGATAAAACCTGACAGTAGGGACAGTTGATTCCATTATTCATCTACTAACTGAAAGATAATCAGGTTACGATGTTATCGCACATAGATGCTACTGAGAAACTGCGATTTCAAAAGAAGTCAATATATAGACAAAAAACAATTTTTGATTTCCTGTATTTATTTTAATCCTTTGAGTTCCAAGTGAAACATGGGATTCGAAGCTTGTGGTTCCAATTTCCAGTAGCACTGGTGTTCTTTGCACGGAATGAAGTTACTCAACTCGCACCCATCCTCCTGTCTTCATATTCGGCTTATTTGCATCTAAGCGAGTTTTAGGAGTGAGTCAACCGGAGACTGAACACGGGACCACATGAGTGATTGGTCCATATTTCATCTCTTAACCAGCGACGCAAACAATTTTATGAAATCGACATAAATCAAGTGATTCATTGATAACTACCTCCCTCTTACAGTCACTTTCATGAATAGAGCCAATAACCAGCCTGACGGTTCTTAACCTCCACACACACACACACACACACACACACACACGAGTATTCCACTCCAAATTAAACCATTTACCATTCGAACAAATCCATTCCATTCACCATCTTATCACTCTGGCTCACCTATCCTACCCACTACAGATTATCAAAGTACACTGCTTTAGTGATTTCGCTGACATTTTGTGATGTATGCGATAGACTATATGACCTTATTCTGATAGGCGGTAGGCAGTAGTGTAAGTCAAAGCAAATTCCACAATTATTTCAGTAACAATTCTATTCAATATTCACTGTGCCTACATCCAGACAGCTTCCTGTTTATTTGGGTCATATTCTAAACGACAGACGGAAAGAGTGTGATAAGAAACATTTTTTTAGCATTTTGTAGTCAATCCAGGTTAGATATAAAATGCCTTTTTTTCATATATTGTCATAATTAATTAACAAATGTGGTTGTTGTGTTGTTCCCGTGATATTGTATGAGTTAAAGAATGTGAGGCAAACACTTTGGTTACTCAGCTCATATTATATTTATCGCAAAGTGTATATTCAGGCCTTTTGATGTTGACTTACTAGTAAGTCGTAAAGGCAGTAATGTTTAGTAGGATAAAGATGTGTTTTCTCGAAATAAATCTCAAGATCACCAAGTGGGTCTGTCTGTCTGTCTGTTTTCGACATAGAACTTTGCACCGATATGCGGCAGTTCAAGTCGCCATACTCCATGTAGCACACAAAGCAAGAGAAGAAAGTACAAGAAAAGCAAAATAGAGACATTTAGCAGAGTTGTGAGACAAAGGAAGAGTAATAACGAAGAGCGAAACAGTTTTATTGGAAATCATGTCACAAAGAGTGGATGCATCTGCGCCGGCCACTGAGAACGATTTTGAGCCATGTCACCAATTGTTTCCAACCATTGGTTTTTACCGTCCCAAGGACCCCAACCAGGAAGTCTACACCTTCCTTCCCACCAAGTGGGTAACTTGTAAAAACATTTGAAGAGCACAGCAATGTCTTCAGACGTTTAGCATCTACTGTAACTGTAGAAAACAAAAGACTTAGAATCAATTATCTCTATATAGTCAAATTATGTACACCTTAGCTTCAACGCACCATTTGCACAGATCTTCGTGTTGTGGTTCTTCTCGGCTTCCTTTATATTGTTTTACTTTGTGTTCCTTTTACATCTTCCATGTATCTCCGCAACGCTGTATCATTTACCTTCCCTTAAATCAAATGTATCTCCCTGATGTTTGGTGTTTTTATGCCGATGAACGTCTCTTTATGTACTACTGATAAATCTTACGAGTAGCACACGCGACACCACAACATCCAACATTAAGTCTTATAGAGGGAAGCATTTGTTACTAGATGTTTGAAACCCACATTTAAAAAAATATTTATTGGTTAGTTAAAAAGTTTAAGCGTTATTTTGCCTAGTAGTGGTACACACTACTGATTTTCATGAATATTTGGAGACCCCTTACGTCAATCGATAGTGCTTATTAGCTGGACGAGGCGGAACTCTTCAACTCAGAGAGCTGAATCAGTTCAAATTACCAGCTAAGCACCTGTCTACCAATCACTACTGGTTGAAATGAGTAACATCCAACTTCTCAAATCAACCACTGCTTCACACCACCATGGAATTTTCTCTCGCTGACTAGATTTCAATTTATGCTATCAAGTAGATCACACATGGTAATCTAAACATTTTCTCTTTCTAAAGCAAATCATGGTGGAGTCGTACCTCAAGCTGCTGTGTAATTTACGAATTGACGGATGTATTCTAAATGTTGCTAGAGCTTCTAACATTCAGCAATTCAGTTGTAGTTTTGTTGGTTTCATTCAATATATGAGTTAGATTGAAGACATTGGCGTCCAGTGAATATATCTCTTCTCCTACGACTTCTGTCTTCAAACCTG